GAACAGCGAATCGAGGGCGAACTCAACGAGCAAGAAGAAATTGTTGCATCTTATACTATCGAATGATTTCGATTTTTTAGGGATTTTTAGATTATCTAGGTTCTCTGTGTTGATTTTTGTTGAAGATAAAAACAATCATTGATTGTCTTAAGCACGTTTGAAATTAATTATAATATATTGTTAAATAAAACTTTACCTCAAAATATTTAATAATAACAATTATTTTATAATTAGCCCACAAAGAATGGAATTTAATTTGAGTTCATATAAAAATTTTTTACATGAGTTTTGTCTAATTGTAAACTCTTCTTGCTTGAAAGTATTCGTTGAAGAAAACACAACTTCATCATAAGAAAACTTACTTACTCCGTATCTAACATTTTATTGTAGATAGATTCATCAATGGTGTTTTTTTTGTAGCGTCACGGTCGTTGAAGTATATTTCTTTCAAACCGATGGCGATATGGTGCACTCAGAATTAATTTATGTTTCAATGTTTGATCCTAGTAAGCCTCTTAGAAAGGTATTACCAAAAAATGCAAGTACTGTTATAGTGACAAAGAGAATTTATATAGGTATGAGAGTATATATAGTTGCAAGTATGTGAAAAGATGAACAACAACAGAAAACTACTGAATAGAGCGGAAACTATTTGCACAGTATTACTATGAATAAACTGAGTGTCGAAATTAAGATTCATTGAAGTGTCTTGTTCAATTTTAAATTGTCGCTAGAGTAATTTAAAAAAAAACAAGAAAAAAAAAGACATGATATTGTTATTTACGACAAGAAAAGTCTGTGTATAAGATTCGTCAACATCCATACCGTTAAGAATGGAATCAACAAAACTATTCCATAAGTAAGTATGAATAGAGTGTGATTTGATGAATTGATTTCGAATTGTGGTGAAGCTGATCGTGAAACAACGATAGGCACTTGTCGATAAGGATGAATGATCAGCATGGATGGCGATTGAATTTTTGCTGGTTCAGTAGATGCATTTGAACTATCGCTTAATGGTGGCAAGAATCTTTGTGGAATTAGATAAGATGCTACGTTAAACAAGTCGACGAAGACTTGATATCGTTCACTAGAGTTAAATGAAAAAAGCAATTCGAATACTATCTCTCAGAAACTCATCTAAACCTAAATCGACATCACTTCAGTTGTTTTTTTTTTCAAATGCTGAAAACAAATCTTTATCATGAGTTCTGATTAGAAAATATTTTATGTCAACATACGAAATACATACCCGAGTGTTTCTACCAAATAAGAAAAGCCATCCGTACCTCCCGTGCCTGGTTTTCTACCAATGTGACGTTGAACAAGTTGAATATGTTTTTCTGTTAATAGAACGAGAAAACAAAAAACCCTTGGAGAAATATAATGTTGTTTTTTTCGACATACGACGCCAATTGGCAATGAGAGCATCAATATCCATGAGTAAATACAGCATTTGATAGGCTTGTTGAAAACAAGGTTGTTGATGATAGACTGATATCATGAGTGCAGCCAACATTGCTTTATGACTCATCCGACGTTCATTCATTAATTTCAATTGTGCATACTGAGTTTGATTAAGCATGTTTGAAAACTGCCGTCTCAAATTTTCTGCTTCGATATTGACACTATCAAATGATATGCCATTCTATCCAGAATAAAACACAACAAAAATGAAGAAAATTCAAAAATATTCTAAGACATCAGTTCAAAACTGTAAATTTTCACTAACCGCCAATCTCTGTTCTTTTGTATGTTCGATAAAGCGTTCTACAGACGTTTGATATACTTCCAGAAAATCAAATGATGTGCTGTCATAAACTTGTTCAAGCCATCTCTATATAAATACAAATATTGGTGATATTACTATCAGAATAAAGATAGACTTATTCAGATAACTTACTTCAAGCAAAGCAAGTAACGATTGTTCGCTAGCTGCATTTTTCAATTCTTCAGCCTGTTGATTTTTAAACATTACATGAGTGAAATAGTTTTCGTGATAATGATGTCTTAATTTATCGTTTAAGCCGAGTTTAAATTCTATTAAGCGAAATTGTAAGCTTTGAAAACCACTAGCTGGTATAATATAATCACGAAATTCGAGAAATTCGATTGGTGTCATTGTTTCAAGCAATTGAAATTGATCGAGTAAAATATTCCAGATTTTAACACAACGATTAAGACTAGTGTTAATGTTAAACATCGAATACATTATATCTTCTGAGCAAGTAATGTTACGAAAAATGTCTCGTATTGAATCAATCTCGAATAAAATTTGTTTGAACCATAATTCGAACACTACAAAAAAACACAGACACATACTGATTGACATTGAAAATTTACTATCACTAACCCTGATGAATTAAAATAAAAAAGTGCTCGTCATGTACATGTGGGCTGTTGTCGTCTAATGGATCAATATGACTACGACACTTGAGTGCAGTAAACAGTAAATCAGTGCGCAAATAGGTTGTGTAATTCAATGGTTCTTTTTGTATTGCTGGTTGATGACTACCATTGTTAACAAGATTTGTTGTTATTGTCTGTTTATTAATTTTGACATTATTGCTGTTGCTGTTGTTGAGGCCATTAGTTATTGATTCTTTGTAGGGACAATGCATGGCATTTGCTTCTGATCTGAAAAAAAGATTTCTTTCTTTTACTCTTTACTCTTATTGTACTTTCTAATGAGGAAATGTTTTCAACTGAGCATTTACTTTTGATATTGAACGCTGTATATAAGAAGGATTTCATGGAGATATACAAAGCCTCAAAAGAATAAATTTTCCTAAACCTTCTATCTAGAGTTATAGGCATTTTACTAGAGTTTTAGCCTCTGACATAGTATATATCAACATGTCGGATGACGATATTTTGACCTGAGATTCTACTAACAGACAAATCTATTTGTCAGTTGAATGTCCTAAAAATTTTAGCACAAAAGAATATTTCCTTCTCAAGATATGAAATTCCCAAAAATTAATCATATTCTGCAACAGATGTCAGAGCTTTCTGTTTTCTGGACAGTGAAAAAGATCAGGCTGAAATAAAATCATTCAACTTGTCAGTATATAACATGCCTATTAATCTGGACACAAGATCTCTATGGAATTTATCTTATGTACAGAATATTAGTTCAGAAGCAATCGAAGATAATAGACGTCGGATCCCTTTTCAAAGAGTTTTTGAGAAATGAAAAATGATGATGTACGACATGACTTACATTGCTCTATAACATTCCAAAGGTTTTTTCGAAATCTGAATGGCTCAAATACAAAATACGTTTCTGAATACGTTGAATAGTGTAGTTTTGGGCTCTTTGAGTCGATAAAAATTTATAAACAACATGTCAATGATGATGCGTAGTAATGCATTGATTTGCAACTATTGTCATATGAAAAATATAGAAAGCGTGAATTGATCAAGTTAGAAAGTTAGATAATAATTAATATTAGTGTTTGTGAGCTGATTAAGGTACACAACAATGTATTACGATATATTGCTTTAGATATAATGAATATGTGTGACAGACTTATTTGTCAATTAATTCTATGCTTACATTAATAATCATGTTAAAATATGAACAAATACGAGCAAATAGAAACAAGACCAAACAATAGAGCGTCCGTAAAAAATCGGGAAAATTCTCTTGAAAATGCAGAAACAAATATGACAAATCTTTACTTTCCTAATCAATTATCTTGTAAAAGAGCCATACTCTACAAGCGATTTTTCACTTTATCAATTTTTGAAGTAGTTTATTGAGGCTAAGCAACATATATGAACTCTGCATTTTAGCTCCAAAGCAACTGCGCTAAAAAAATTTTATTCTATTTATCGTCACAAAACTCTAAACAAATATCAAGAAAGTGAATTTTGAAAAGAAAGGAATCCTAAATTGACGTATTACATTCTTCTCATTAGATGTTTGACAAATACAAGCAGAACTTAATTAAGAAAAAGTAAAAGTTACCTATCTTAATAGGTTTCTCTCACAAGACGTAAGAAAACCATTACAGAAAATAATCAAGAAAAACAAATACCAAACATAGTAATTTATGCACTTTCCTCTAATCAGATGGTTGACAGCTATCAAGATAACTGAATGACAAACAGAAAACTAATGTTAGTTTTCTCATTCTAATTCTCATATAGAATACGTTACAACTATAAGGATAACAAAATAATAAAAAAAGTAAAGTTAACTTTTTGATTACATTTCTCATAAGTACAAGATGTGCAAGAACTATCAGGATAAGTGAATAAAGAAAGAGTGAAGTAAAGTAAACTAATTTTTTTCCATTACTCTCACAAGATGCTAGAAAAGTATTAGAATAACTCATATAACAAAAAGAAGGCAAATTAGGTTATTCGGTTTGTTGTATAAAAGATGCGAAGATATCGTTTTGATTACATTTCTTTTATGACATGCGCAAATACTATTGAGATAAGCAAAGAAAGAAAAAGTAGATTAAACTAAATAAAGATTTTCCGTTTCTCTTATAAGATATCGAAAGAGGATGGACGTAACTCATAGAAGAAAAGGAAAATAATCTAGGTTACTCTGTTTGCTTCAAGAAGTGCGCAACTTCAGCTCGAGTGCAATATAATAATCTATATTTGGACGTATTTTATTCGAAACAAACTGAATAAGGTGGTATCATACAAATTTATTGATAACAAAAATGACCAATGTTATTGTTTCGAACATGGTAATGGTTAGATTATTCAAATTTCATCGATCTCGGCATCATGAATCCTTTGATTTGTTCGTTAGTGATCTGTTTCCGTTGTTCTTGATGTTTACCGAACAATCTTTGTAATAGAACAACAAATTCTTTGTTGAAGTCACACGTCAACAGTTAACCCATTTAGTACCCTTACTGAAAGATAGAAAAACGTAACAAATTAGTATAGGGTGTGGTTCGCTGTTGAGGAGAGTATTTCTTCCTACATACTTATTCACAGGCAAATCAGTACCTTTACATATCTCAAATATACTAAAAAAAGTACATGAACTAAGTTCTGAAACTGAAAGAATCAATATAAGAGAAAGAAAACTCATGACTTTTATTTATCAGTTTCTTTAATTGGAAGCTTTGTTTAACAGCCAAAGGTGTATTATTTAATCATATGAATATTTCTTAGAAATAATTCTTTCTAAAAACATTTGATGCGCGACAAAGGATCATCTACAATCAATTTTTGTTTGAACAAAAACAAAAGGAAATTTCTCCCGATTTTCCTTTACATGATACGACTAAGAAACATCAAAGAAGAATGGAACCGAAATCGAACTGCATTGAATAAGAATCTATTTTTGAAAAGATGTTTCAATGATTCATAGAGCTATCGTTGATTTTAAAACATTGTTATCGACAATGTTAAAACGAGTTTTTATTGCTTATTTTATACGCTGAATTTTGTTCTTTGTAGAATACAACTTTTTTCTTCTAGAAGAATTACTGAAGGAAACGTATTGGATCTCTCAAGAATTCCATGAGAAAACTCCAAAGATTTTCGTTATGGCTTTCATTTTATACAAAAAAAGACACGTTTTGCGACTTCATGATTTCATCAAAGATCAAATCTTCCAGCATGACAAAGAAATCAGTTTGAACAATTCATACTTATTTCATATCCATGGGCAAAAAACGTGTTGGCTGCAATGTATAAAAAGTTCTTTTGTAGCAAACGACGAGAAGCTCTGAAATACTTCAAGCTCAGTCTTTTAATAAAAGAAATGAGTTGAAGACAATCTTGGCTAGATTTCGAACTGGACTCTATTTCTCATTTAGAAAAAAAAATCATTTGATATAATTCGCTTTTAGCAGCATGAATTATCAACGATACACAATTCCTACAGTAGTAAGTTAAACATATTCATTACAACACAAGCTATTGTTACACATTTTAATCAGTGATTCTGCGACATCTGATTTTTTTTCAGTTAATATTTTTTGGTAAACTACTCTTCTTTATTCCTTTAAATTTTGTTAAGATGAAAATTTATTTAGATTTAAAATTAAGAATTAAGTCAAAATAAATTAATAAAACTTGATATTCAATTATGAAATTTCGACAGACAATTTTTTCTTCATTAGATATTAGTGGAATGTCAAGTTTGTTTTTTTTTATATGCAAGTGGTTTCGTTTTTCTATAGATATTTTAACTGTAAATTTAATCACTTGCCATCTTAGTAAAATATAAAAAGAATAAGAAAAAATAATACACTACAAATATTAATTAGTTATATGACCGTAATAACCCGTTAATGAATGCTGTTTTTTTTTCTAAACTATTTCTATCATTGTCATGCATTCATTATTGTAGAAATTTTAGCATCAACTGATTTTATGCACATTAGTCTACCTCGTTTCAAATTTACTTTATTGACATACTGAATAATAAATTCAGGATCACACATGTTCTTAGACTCGAATCAAAGAGTTTGTTATAATTCTTTTACAAACAATAGATTTAACTAAACAGTTCTTCGATCACTTTTCTTCATTTCAATCTTCGATGTTCAACAGTCATATCAATAGAAAAAAACAAAGCTTATCTATTTACAGAGACAGTCAAACTTTCTCAATAAGATGGAAAAGATGAATACGAACTATGCATATCGCCTAATCATGAGTATTGTCAGTATGTAACTTAAGCTCAAAAATACTGCACACAAACACTGTACGGTGTGTGTTGGCATTTGTTTTTCTAAAAAAGCTAATAAAAAGACACAACAGTTATGTGTTATTGTAAAAAATAAATTAAGTTCACACAAGAGGACCAAGGTCAATAAAAGAGAGTGTGGGTGTGTAAGGCATGGAGACAAGGCTCATATCCACACCCTCAAGCTTTCCACTTCGCATCAACTCAGGAATATATCTGAAATTACACGTACAGTAATCCTCGAATGAGCTACAAACTGAAGTATCAGTTTCAAGTGTATCAAAATACACCTGCAAGTATGGTCAATTTTATGCTTATAGCCATACAATTTGTAGATCATGTTTAGCTTTTATGTATAAGAATCGTCAATAAACAGAATTTGATTGAATACAAGAACACAAACCAGCTTCTAGAATTGTGCTGAAATAGTAATTTGAAACAATAACAAAGCTTATTTCACTAACGGTAAACCAGAAGAATTGAGACTGGACACTCAAGTTCTCGAAAACAAGACAACCAATCATACTAATCTACAGGCCTTATGTAAGCTTTTATATTTTATGCGTCGATTTAAGTTGGTGATAATAGTTATGAAAAGAAATGACAATTACTTTTCAAACTTCACTAATCTGTGTGCGACTTTATCTTCTTCTATCTTATCGAGAACACTATTTCGTTTCGAAAACAAAAGAAAACATTATTAACATACAAACAATTGTAATAGCTTCACCTACATATTAACATTCTTAATTTGGCATTCTAAACTGATATATATATTCTAGGATATTTATTTAGAAAAGTGTTGCCAGCGCGTTACCAAACGTTTTTTAAATAGTTCGCTCATTTTTCTATGCATCAACAGTTTTATTATTATCAAAATATAGCCTACCTTGCCTGGTAGAAAGCCTTCTTTTGTGAAATTCATTAACGTATATGTTACATCTCTTGCATCTATTAGAAAGAAGGGAGTGTTTTTTTAATATTTGTATGTAATTATGATTGTACTTCTTATCCACGTTACAGAATTCTTGAAATCTGCTTGCTGTGAATTTTGTAAGTCCTCTAATTTAGATATCAAATATCACAATTTTGACGAATGAATAATACACGGATATGTGCAGTTAGCGACGATGTCACTAATGAAATGCATTAATGTTGTGCTCCATGACTTGTCAATATTTCCACAATATACCTGTTTTGTTAGCTTGTGTAATAACACAACATGCACAACGTGCGTAGTGGTATGAAGAATAATGCGAACAACATGCATTTTTTCTTTTCTTTTTCTGTAAGCCAGATTTCAGGTAATTGTGTTAGTAATCAGGAACTAGCGCATGTACTTCCACACGATTACATTGAAAACACGTGATAGCAATCATTTCTATTTCTGTATTCTATTGCAAGTGAAAACAGAGTGATATCCTAATACTGCTATACCCACTATCGATATTTACAAAGTACAATATCAACTAAAGTACCCAAGTGAAGGGTATTCACTTCCATCACACAAACATCATCTAACGGAGTAATGACTTCAGCGCTATAATGTATAGTTTCATTCATTCACATCCACTCCAGTCCCATAACTACATACTCCATCTTCCACGCAAGTGCATCCACACTCAATATATATTTGACTTGAGAGTACTGAGGTGATAATTACTTGTGGAAATAATATTTAGAGTATTAAGGTAAATACACTTTACTTAAATATTATTTATGATACTCTGATATTTAACTCTGAGTATCCATTGTAATGGTATTATGACATCTATGCGAAAACAACAGTAAAAATGAATACATTCGTAGGTTCGTTAAAGAAATCATTGATCACTTTCAGATGAAACAAACTATTACATCTACTTCATTTTTGTCACCATTCAATGGCAAAACGATTGTACTTGAACTTGGCCATGAAATAGGCTTCAAAGCTAAGCAAGAACTGATAAACTATTTACGAGAACAGCAAGCACACATTTCATATATTCTTACAGCGAGTGTACGTTTTTGTTCTATTCCACAAACATGCTGTCGCAGGTGACTTTTTTCTTTAGACTGACTACATTTTGGTCACGAATAATGTAAATACCTACAAGACACGTCGTGCTAAACAACTCGGCCTGCCATTGATCAATGTTGAATATGTATACGAATATCGTCGCTTGCCACCAGACCAAACATCATTAGATATTAGTAAATATATCATCAAATCGGTTGAAGATCAGGAAAATTTTACAAAGACCGGCACTATTTCCGTCGCAGGTATTCAAAGTTTTTTCTTTCTTAAATAACATGCCGGACATACTTGTTTATTAGGACCACGGACGAGTGCCATCAAGATCAATAAATTTGATTTGAATAAAATCAAACTATGGAATTGGGACGATGCTGATTTGCCTCGTTTTGATGAGTCTACACATTGTGAAATTGGCAAATGGGCCATTTTCAAAGTATAGTTCTATGCGTATATAAACCTATTGTTCGTTAATATTTCTACTACTTATCACAGGAAACCAACGATAATTTGGATGTGTATTTTGTTCTCGAACTTCAAGTTATTCCTGAACAATACTATGATCGAACAATGACTGATTATAGACTACGGTTTCGATACGAAAAACAGACTATTACGGACAGAGGACAACAACAAGATAAAAAAGTATTGATACAGTATGCATTCAGTGATGATCCAAATGAACAGCAACAATTGTTTGCATCATACTATTATCGAGTGGCTACAATGCCACGTATAACACGAATTCGTGAGGTGTTACCTGATAAATTAGGATCAAAACTATTGTTACGCGTAAGTACATAAATGACGTTAACAAAAAGAAATAATATTCAAAAAAAAACTCTTTTCAGACTTTATTTACTCATCGTATCGATACACAAATACTTGATGAGAATGTATGTCAATTGATAGAATCAATTTGGCTAGAATCTATTGGTGATTTGAATAAAATGTTGAGCGTGCCACCGGAATCAATCACTCTCAAAGCGGTATACACATTTATTTTACTACATTCAAACTAGGTTTTTTTCTCCCAACTATTAAATAGATCATCGAAGCTGAAGCAGCTTTGCTTGAACTTCGATCGAACAATGATCCTGCTGCTGTACGTCGTTTTTATTCACTTATTCCCCATCAATCACAGTACAAAGTTGATCTGCTAAAGAATCGTCGAGTATTAACCGAAAAAATTGACTTGTGTCAAGTACGTCTATTTCCTTCCATTGCTTACTTTAATCTTTCGTTCTTCCAGATGCTTCGAGATATGCTAACAGTCAATGAACTAACCAATTGGAATATTAAAGCACCGATCGAAGCCAAATATCGAGCATTGAAATGTCACATTGAAACAGTTGATAGTTCAACACCCGAATATAAGAATATTGCCGAACTTATTCAATCATCGACAAATAGGTATAAGAAACATTAACATTTGATTTGATAATGATAGTTTTGCTTTTGTTCACTAGTAGTGAAAAAATTGTTATTCACCATGTATTCAACGTAGCCAAACAGATAGATGCACTGAATTTTTGTACATCATTATCTCATCAACGGTCACTGTTTCATGGATCAAAATATGCCAACTTTCTTGGAATTCTTTCACGGTAAAATATTCATTTTATCTTCTAGACATTATTTATAGTTTGGCTATATACATTTAGTGGTTTGACTATGCCAAAAATAGTAGTTGAAGAATTAGGTGTCATACGCACTGATATTGGTTGTCTTGGCTATGGAATTTACTTTTCAGATTCTGCTTCTACATCTCTAAAATATACGACATCAAGCACAACACGACCAGGTCGACGATTATTGTGCATTTGTCAAGTAGCTCTAGGCGAATCAGCCAACTATTATTCATTTTCACCGAATCTCACCAAACCTCCTGACGGCTTTCATAGTACACATGGAGTCAAACGAACAGAAGAAAATCATTCAATGTTTACCGTAAGTAGTTTACAGAGTTCTTATGTTTCATCAAAGAAAAAAAGAATATTTTCGAAAATTTTGGCTGATTGGATAGAATCAACGAACCTAACTTTTTTTTTCTCAAGTAAAAATGTAAGATTTGATTTATTTCGTTTGAAATGTTATCAGTTTAGTGATAATCAAGAGAGAATCCTATCGCTGAATAACAAAAAGAGTACATGTTGTGTCACTCAAGTCTGTTCATGAATATCATTTTCATTTTTAACTAAAATGTCGAGATATCATCATGATTCATTTGATAATAAAAGCAAAGTGTTTATACACAAGCACGTCATTCATTTTTAAAATTTTTGCATCATAGAGAAAAAAGTATTTCATCATATTTCATGTGCGTACTACAACGTGTTGCTAAGTTCTAAAATATTTATCACTCGTTCTGTAGTTTCCATTGGTTAAATTAATCATGAAGAAAAAGGATACATGTTATGATTGCACAAAATAAGATTCATATTAGATTTTCTCGACAGATCCTGCGCAGTATCCTTTGTTTATGTGATAAATGTTCATATTGACGACTTTGATCGTTGCATTCATGCTGAAAAACTCTTTTATGTACCGTTCGATGTCAATTTGAATAGGCTGTATTTTGATAAGAAGTGTTTTTAAAAACATATAACACTCAATGGGCAAATTTTTTAATTTAATTGCAAAACAAAATGATTAAAACTTTTAACTTTAACGTACATCATTAAAAAGAGCTCTAAAAGTTGAACAGACACTAATGTTATGAATCTAAACTGATTCGAATTAATAGAACTTTTTAAAGAATTTTCCACGTTTTGAATCGATACTACATAGATTATTTTGTAGAACAGATGAACGAGACTTTATTGCCTTCTATGCAGTGTACTTTAAAGTTGATATAGTGCCCATAGGTTCTATAAGTAATTTTTTTGACAATTAAATTGAAACCAAACAAGTATGCAAACATGAGACGAACGTTTCGACAAGTGTCTTGTATAAAAGTGGTATTCGTCAAATTTCATGTAGAATGTTATACAAAAGCTTTCCGTTTTTTTTTATTCAATGACTAAAAAGCTACAAAATCCGGAGTACTTTCAACTGCTTTCCAAGACCTCATTATGTAAAGAATAGTGTTGTAATGAAAGATGCATTTCGCTTTGTTTCATGACAATGTCATTGTGAATGAAAGCCAAAATAAGTATAATCTATCAAACAATAGTCTATATAGTAATGATAACTGTCACTGAGTGCATCTAAAAACAACATTTCTCTAAGAGATCGAATAGAAGATTTCAGATCATCTAATGTATCCAGAACTTCAATCTAGGAAACAAGCGTTTTAACTGTTTTCTTGTACTCTGGAATAGAAAATTGAGCTACAAATGCACATTTAACTTGACTGAAGTATCATTTTGAAGTGGAAAGTAAAACATAATTCAATCAATGCATGTCCTTTTACATAAGGCAGAGTTCTATATCATACCCAAAGCGCATGATGCATCACTGAAAGTCGATCTATGATCTATGTTAGAATTGCTCTTAATTTCATTTCAACGGAAAAATCCGAAATAATCAAACTTATATACATCCTAGGACTTGAACATAGACATGGTATAAGATAGAGAGTCTTAGGTTTTTGTCTCAGCTAAATCTTTATTCATTTGCTTCCATTGTTAACATCGATGTGAAACATTAATATGAATCTACTAGAGATAAAAATCAAGATCCAATATGAGAGATACATTTGGATCCAAGACTTTTATGTCGACTTTGGTCTAGCAATATGCTTAATCGTGCAATCACTAATAAGATTTTTATCAAAATAGGATAATGAATATGCGATCTATCAACTCGATCAACAGCGTTTACTATACATTATAGAAGTTTCATGGGCACCGAACGATGCTCTTAATATCGAATTAGAGCGATTGCCAATTGTTCATCATCAACAACATGCATTAAAATTGAGTGAAAATGGTACTAATGATTCTGTTTTATTCGAATAAAATTCGATCAGATGATATTGTATGTTCTAGTCGAAGTTCCATTGACAATGGATGATGAAGTCATTGAAGTAGCCGAACAAGACTATGGTTTAGTATGTCCATCGTCAGGAAAACTTGTACCACTTAAATCATTTCATATTCGTGCTCAAATTGTTGATTCTACAGTTGAAGTAAAATATATCTGTCGCTTTGTTAAAGTATAACTAGTTTATCATATTTCTTTTTAACAAAAAAAAAAGGTTGTTCTCTATCAAGTCTACCACAACACAAGTTCAACACCGATCGAAGCTAAATATGTGTTTCCTCTTGATGAAAATTCGGCTGTATGCGGTTTTGAAGCACATATCAACAATAAAGTTATAAAAGGCGTCGTTAAAGAAAAAGAACAAGCCAAACAAGAATATCGAAAAGCAATCGAAAAAGGTCATGGTGCCTATTTGATGCATCAAGAACAAGCTCAAGTGTTTAGCGTAGCTGTTGGTAATTTACCAGCGAATAATGAAGTCATCATTAAGATAACCTATGTTGCTGAGTTAGAAATCGAAAATGGTGATATCATCTTTCGTCTTCCAGCTAAAATGGCTTCATGGCAATCGAAACAAGCAATTGAAGCAAAAGATCAATCGATTGTACGATCTATTGGTATTGTTGATGAAAAAGTTGAATTCAGTTTCAAAGCATCGATTCGAATGCCATATGAAATCATCAAATTATTTTCACCAACACATCGTCTTCGTCGAAAATTAACTGATTGTATAGCTATGGTTGAACTTGTCGATAACGTCTTACTTGATCGAGATTTTGTTCTTTCTATAACACTCAAAAGTGCTAATTTACCTCGAATATCAAATGAAACATTGTCATTGGATGATGACCAAGTCACAACAACAACAACAGCAACATCGAACAATAATTCTCAAGCATGTATGCTTACATTTTATCCGCGATTTGAAACATTAATGAATTCGAACGAACAAATTGAAATTATTTTTATTATTGATGTATCCAATTCGATGGATGGTAGTCATGTACAACAGGCTAAACAATTAGCTCATTTATTTCTTATGAATTTAAAAGTTAATGATAGAAATACAATTTTCAATGTAGTTACTTTTGGATCAGGTAATAAGATGGTTGTCAATAGTATTATTCTACTGTGCAAATTTCAATTATTTAGATAATGATGAATGTTTTCCGATTTCAACACTAACAACAAAAGAAAATCTTGATAAAGCCAAACATTTTGTTCTGGTTGGTAATTTTATCTTGAACATAATTTTTCTCACTGAAATGTATACATTCGACATATTTTCTAGCATTCACTTATCCATCGTGGTAATACAGATCTATTTTCTGTTCTTCATCGTTATTCACTTTTACCATCGTTAACATCATCGAAATTTGGCCGTCAATTCATTCTTCTATCCGATGGGCATATTCATGATTTCAAATCGATTCTTACACTGCTCGAACATCAATCGATTATGCGTCATGATCGTTTATTTACATGTGCAATAGGTAATATTGCTGACAAACACAGTTTGAAACAATTAGCTCGTGGAGCATGTGGAGGCGGTCTAGCAACAATATTCGATTCGAACTATCGATCAAAATGGAAAACAAAAATTTTAAATATCCTCGAACAAATCCGACAACCTTGTATTACAAGTATATCAATCGATTGGCATGGTCAGTTAGATACAGAACAAAAATTCAATATGCAAGCACCGAAAATGATTCGATCTTTGTTCAACGGAATGCGACTTAGTGTCTATCGATTTATACAAAATTGTCACAAGGCAACATTAACAGCTACTATCGATGGACAAGAATTTGTTACGACGGTATTTAGTAGTCCGATAACAACGACCAAAGGACATATTCTACATTGTCTAACTGCTCGAGCGATTATTAATGATTATGAAAATGGATTATTGCATGTGAACGAGAGTGAAAATGAACTAATCAAAGTTCAATGTAAACGAGATCTCATCGATCTAAGTATCAAACATTCTGTCGTTAGTGAATACACTAGTTTTGTTGCCATCGAAGAACGTGATGCTAAAACAGATAGACAAATTCGTCAACCAGGTTAGTCAAAATCTAATGTATATTAATAATGAGAATATTTATTTGTATACATTCTGTGATAGGCGTTCGTCTTCTGGATGTTATGCTTGATCGAGATATTGACTTACTACCATACATTGAATGGAATGGTGATGTAACAAATTTAGTTTCGATTAAACAAAAATTGATTGATGCACGTATTTCACTCGAATGTGCATCGATTCAAAGCAAAAAAGAATCAATTGTTGATATTGAAAAACTTTGTGAAAAAATTTCCTATCGAGCTGGTGGTGATCCTAAGTTTGATATGATGATGTCTATTATACATACGTATCGTTATTCATTGAATGAACACGAAAAAGCAAATGAACTTGAAGACAAAATACGAAACGGTATGTTAATTAATCTAGAATAGAGATTCACAAATGTCAATTTTGAAAAATAAACTAGATATTAAGATCGAAATGATTAGTGCAACGACAGAAGAACGACAAGCATTACAACAACGATGTGAAGCTAATAATTTGATGATCACAAATGATGAATAGTACGTAAAAGAAAGAAAGGAAATATTCAAAATAAAATTTCGTGTTCATTATCTTTTAGTGAATTATTATTCGACCATGACGGTAAGAAGAATCATAATTAGAACTCATGAATTTCAACTTCAGAAACCTCAAATGAGCGGGAGAGAGAAAGAGAGCGATCATATGATTTAGAACAAAATTAAATTTTTAGACACGCTGTTCATCATTAAAGTGATGAGCAAAAACAAACCATTGGATTCTTTTAGTTTGTATATATTATAGTATTTGAGTAGTTTCATTACAGTCGAACAATGGGCAGAAAACGATAAAAACTTAGTTGCAGAGTGTGAAGCAACCTAGAGCAAGAATAAGTTGTCGTCTTTATCTTTCGATCGTAGGTTTCTGGAGTGATATATCTTTTATTTCGAATTCGAGAATAAATAGAGATTCATTTTCCTATTGAATTCACAAAATTTCAAGAGATTCAAACACATACGACAATCAAATAATTATCGATACATTTGAGTTAGACTGAGAGAGGGTGAGTCCGATTTTTATCATGAATTTTTAATCTTTAAATTCCACATACAATAATGAAACAAAAATTGTTAGTATCATGTGAATCTTGATAAATCTCAAAAAAATCTTAATAATTGATAACATATATGTAACACATATATATTTATTTTTGTCAGACTAAGTCAATTGACTATGGAGTAACATACACACAAGTATTCTTTTCTCAATTCTGCTAGAGATAGAGTTTATAGTAGTTATTGAAGTATAACCTAAAAAACCAAAGCAAAAAAAAATTGGATGAATACTAAGTGATTTTCTATATGAAGCGTATGAACTCTCAATGAACAATAGAAATGGATAGGGTTTATGTTTGTATGCATCCATATCTGAAATGCAAATTCAGCACAATATACGAGGAGCATATTTTATTATAATCTTTCTATCAATGCGTTTTTTAAAAGCTATATTATTGCTATTGATCTAAAATATGTTGAACATTGTACTAAGTAGGATTTTTAGAGTCTAGACTAGGAAAATTTGATAGCATGAATGATCTAAAGCAAAATTGAACAACTATTATATTGTATTTTCAAAACTTCAACAAAACTAGAAAATCATTTTAGAGAATTTCAATAAAGTGAAATAAAACAGATTTGCTTGAATACTGTAAAAGAACTTCATAGTCTAGTTTTAAAGTTAAAATATTTGACATCGAAAAGATATACATTCAAAAAAAAATACGATATATGACTGTTAACGTATAGTAAAGCATTTAAGAGCATCGCAATGACTTGCACGAAAAAAAAACAAACAGAAGTCTTTTTCAAAGAAGTCTGTATTATTCGTTTTAATTAACTTCGAGATGTTCGAAGCCGTTCTGAAGGAATTAACACAAAATGAAACAATATATGAGAATGACAACGAAATTGATATATTCTTTTCAGTGAGGTGAAACACCAGACTCTACTAATGGACTCTCTATGTCATCATTATCAATAAATGAAAAATCGCTCCTAAATACAGCTAACATTTCTAATACTATACACATCAAATCTTTATACAGAAAGAGTACGATACGTTATCAAAAAATTGCAGAATATTAACCATTTCATTATTGCTCAACTACTCTAATATGTAATTTTCTTGAATTAAGTCCTTATAAATTATTTACTAATTATAAAATGAGAAAGATTTTCAATCGAATGAGAAGACTTCATCTTGATATTGTTCATATTTAACTTAGTCGAAAAAGTATTTACATCATAATAAGCAAATTATATTCATACGGGTTCAACTGAAAATGATATTTAATATTCTATGAAATATGATCTTTAGTTATACTTTATTGTAACCATCGATCGATTAGTAATGAATTAAAGTATGAAGTTTCTTTTATTCTTTCATTAAGAAATCTACAATTTCTCAACATTAGTAATAATACTCTTTAAAAATAAGTATCCTCCTAATATTGAGACTTTTACCATCAAGAGTTTGCGCTCAAATAAAATGAATACAGTATTCGAAATAAATTTACAAAAAGAAAACATAGTGTGCTACATATTTTTCATAGGAAATTAGTTTTAATTGAAATTCAACACTTGGTACGCCACAAAAAATATGCTTGCAAAAAAAAACACATGTTGTTCCATGCAGTTTTTTACATCAATTCTGAATATCTTATTCATTTTATTTCAAAACAAATTCTTGATGTGAAAAATCGACAAAGCGAAGATCATTCTTGAAAAATTTTGTTGATGGTATTGAAAAAAACATCAATTTCTCTTCGATGATTATAAGAAGAACAAGGAAAATTAGCACTTCAATATTTTGACAATATTTATTTTTCGAAAGCTGAATAGATGATTTGTTTCTGTGTCTGATCGAAACGTTCTTTACTTTAAGTGTGTGTTGATTTTTAGCAGCGAAAAGTACATCTGGAAAGCGTTCATCACGCCGACGGTCAAGATGGCAAGCATCAGCAGATGATGATAAAGGCAACGAACATGCTGATATGAATGTCGTTTTGTTCAATGAAAACATGGACATGTACTACAATTTGCCATCACGTGAGTTATGCAACTTTTATTATCAAGAGTGAGCATTGAGAGCAAAGTTCAATAAAATCAAAGTTGTTTAAATTGCTTTCAAAACTATATTTTCTTATTCTAATTCCTAGTATTGTTCAACTAGTGCAAAAGATAAAAACAGAACTATTTTACAATATGATCGTGGGTCTAATACATTTGCCATTGTTTTGAAGGAAATAAGAGTAAATATCAACGACCTGTAATTCTGTTGAAAAGTGAAGGAAAACATATCACATAGTTTTTGTATCGTGATAAAATCCATATCAAACATAATTAAAAACAGAAGGTTACAAAATGATCAAAATTTTGAATTTCATAGTGATCAATAATACCTCTTTCTTGATAATCCATCGACTGAACGTAGTCTGATCCTAAAGTTGATTTACTAGGTTATGACTTTCTATCCTCAATTACAAGTTAGCATGCCAAAAAACTAAGGCAACATATTTCAATGTCTTTGAAGATTATTTGAATTCAAGAATAAGTTATACCAACGCACTTATAATTAATTTCCAATATTTCTCAAAAACTTTGATTTACACTGCTATGTGATTATTGAGCTTCTGAAAACTTCGAAAATATGAATATACCTCATTAAAATATGTTCCAGTTTTTCTCTTTCTAATATAGTAAAAAATGCTAACTCTATAGTTGTGTAACTGTTTGTGTATTCGAAGACTAAAACACTAATATTCTAATTTGAAATGACTCTATTACATCAATAAACCCAATATTAAGTGAACATCTGCCTCGATTAAATGATTGCTTACACTAATTATTCAATGTAGGTCCTATGCGATTTATAAATGTGTTGATACGTGTATGCACAGACTTCAATATATTTTAAATCTTGACAATTTGACGTTATCATGTACCGATAGAATTCAAGTGGAAACTTTTTTTCTTAATGTATCCGAATAAGTCTTGTTATGATTCATTAGTTCCTTTCGGAAACTAGAAAGGTCCGATTTGACTACAAAAAGAAACCATTGGTTTTACTTTATAAGCTAGTAATATCTAACTGATACGAAGTTCAATCAAATTTTATCTTCTTCTTATCGTTAGTTTCATCGCATCCACCTCCGCCGCCACCTGTATCTTGGCAACCATCTACTCGACCGTCTCCACCACAAGAACCACCACAACAATTTATGCAACAAAAAGCGGTAGCTAGAAGTAGAGATGGGATGCCAGGGCTTTTTTCTGATCTGACATTAACAGGAAACACATCGACGGTGTTTTCTGAGATACAATCTCCTCGTGCTAGTCTACAGTCACAATCTCAAAGTGCTTTTAAAACACCACAACCTTTTCCTGGTAAGACGTTGCCACATGGAATATTGTTGCATTCATCGAGTAGTGAATTACTTTTTGTTGCAGATTACTCGACAACAAACAACACCAACAATAATAACCTATCATTGCCGTTTATGGGATCCCAGATGCAAGCCACATTTTCACCTTCATCTCCCTGTGGATTTCAGAATAATGCCGTTTATATGCCAATGATGATTCCGCAGAGCCATTCACAAAGCTTCTCATCTGGTCAGTCAATGCTACCCAAGAAATATCACTTTCGTTCTCTTTTAGATTTTGATTCCCGTAGCAAAAGCAGAAGTGTAGGTGGCGTTTTTGATGCTGCACAATCATTTGTTCCTGGTTAGTCATGAAAAGAATCATATTCATTTTTGCACTCGATACCGCCGCTTTTTGAATTAATACAATCGAGTTTCTTAGGATTTCAATTTGCTCGTGTTCCTCCGCTTCCTCTTCCAACAACAACGTCATCATCATCATCAATTAGCTATCTTAACCGAGTTCCCACTACTAGTGATACTCTAGGTGGAGGTAAGATTTGAATTTTTGTCTCTATGTATTTATACTGCTCCTTCATTTGTATTAAAGTCGAGCTACATTAAAATCTATTTAGTACAATAGGAATTTATAGCACAATCAGATGTTGCCAGTTCTTTTCTCGTAGTTTCGCTCTTTTTTTTGTAGTCTTGATGAAAAATGAAACATAGAAATAAGCAACAAACGAAAATAGAATTATAAGCACATATATTTTTCGTGAAACATGTTTGCTTACCTCTGAGATCTTGAGATCACTTTAAGTGTCAGTGAATAAATCCGTATGTGTACATGTTCAGTATCATATAGGTTAATTTATTGGTAAGTTCTGTTGTTAGTCGAAGTTCGCAGTAGAATGTTTCATTCGAAAATTCAAACTGAGTACATCACACATGCTCAGTAAAAATATGCTTATTTAGTCACATAATTGAGTAGTAACTACACAAGGAGAAACATGATAAACAGTAAAATTCAAATTATTTCGAGAACAAATTTTTTCTGACAGACATAAATAGTATTACGGAAGAAATCAGTCAACTCATATATCAATAAATATACAATCTCGGGAAGGTTTTTCCAATCTACGCGCAAAATGAATCACTAGTTAGAGTTTTGATACTGAAAACGCTAACCAGTTAAATAGTATCACTATGTACATTTCGATGATGTGAATGTGTAGGTGTGAGTCTGTTCAATCGCTCTTACTGACATCCACATCAGCACATCTACACCAACAATCTTTCGATTTCTTCATAGTGATTAAGAAAGTCAGCAAGTATACATTTATCATCAAAGATAGATACATCATGAGTTAACTATCAATTAAAAGCCTTTAGTGTATTTCTATGCTCTATTCACGATTGTGTGAAATAAGTAGTTGTCTCCAAATATGCACAACTTGCTCAATAAAGGGTTCATTTTATTTAACCACAACGCAAATACATTGTGAATGAATTGTTCATTGATCATAATGTTCACGATGAACAGAGTAGATGACAGATATTTTTGTGTATTCGTTAAAAGTAGTCATTTGATAGATGACATCATTCAAGAATATCGATGTAAGAAACATAATTTATGATGTGTAAAATAAAAGATTAAGCAGATAAAAATGTATTGGACAACATGTTTTAGAGGATAGTTCGAAGCATGAAAACTTGCAGTTTTATACTGAATCGAAATGAGAAAATTATGAAAAATGTCGAAAATAAATTTTTTTAAATTTAAAAGTTTCATATTTCTTATCTTACAGTTTAATATCACATTCGATCGGATTTTAACTTCTGACCATCATGCTTGAAAGTATCAATTGCAAGTTTTGTTCCCCATTTTTCATGATAGATACTCTTGTTCTTTGGAAAACTATGTAAAAGATTTTCAAGACATCATAAACATTTCAGGATATATATATATATCCGGACGGTCTCTAAAATTTCTCAAAAGAATCATAATGGTATATATCTTCCGTTAATGATGGATTGTACTGCCTGCAATTTGCCTCGACTGACATTAGTTACCGTCATGATTTTCCAGATGTTTCATGTGCTAGCGTATTCATTAATTACCTGGATAATTTTTTGCTAAAGAATCATTATCTCCTGTTGGTCGACAACTAGCTAGTTCTTGTCTTCTTTCAATATTACATTGCAGCATAAAATATGATCAATATCAATAACAAATCATGATACGTTGATAAAAGACTATATTAAACCTCCAATATTCGATGATAGATATCGAATTACCAATAATTTTTTTTGGAAATGATATTTTCATATTGAATGAAGATTCATTCGTCGAGTAATCGCCTATCTTTTAGCTTGTCTAGAGAATTATAGCAGTTATATGTGTCATTTTCCATCAATATCGTCTACGTTCTCTCTTAATTTTTTCTTAAAGCAGAAAGAACAATAATAAGAACGTTGTCTGTTGTAGTACGGCATCCTCAATAGTCTACTGCCAGTTGTACATGTTAGATGTGCTATCTTTTAAGTAAATGTTTGTTTTAGGTGTCGACATTCCATCGCTATATGAGTCGCATGCCTATACTGCTAATAGTTCACAATTTGGTTTTACTGCTCCTCCCCTACCACCACCACCACTGGTACCACCACCGCCACCACCGCCACCGGCACTATCATACTCAACAATATCATTGTCAAGAGAGAGGAAGTCATCACCATCAAGCATAAGTACATATTGTGTGAATCCTTCAAAGGCATCACAGTCTAATTCACGCATCAGTATCAGTAAGTTAGAATTATATTGATTCCTTGATTATTTTGATGAATGAACAATAGACATAGAAAGACGGCCACGCACCTCGTCACGTGATGATGAATATGATCGCGCTTGGGGTGCTGTGAGTAAATCACGCAGCTCAAGTGGTGTAGCGCAGAATGACACACCCCAAATGTATTCGATGTCCTTTCATAGAGATCAAGGTTCAAGAATTCTTGAGATGTGTAACGAAGGTCATATCTCAATAGAAAAACGGGTTAGACCGACCATAGTATGTACATAAATATAAGTTCTTTTTTTTTTTGAGATTTTGTTTATGTGTAGGAGGAAGGCTATGACGATGACGACGATATGCTAGACTACGAACTTGAAAGTAGAAGATCAGAATCCATGCGGCGCGGAAGGAAGGTAAAAAGAAAATGGTAAGTTATAAAAAATTCCACAGAGGCATACGATGATTAATTATTCATCGTCATTCTTTATTGATGGTACTTTTGAAATGTGACTAAACTAAAAATTTAGCATTAAATCAAATATGAACTTTGTGTCAATGTCCGATACATCTCGTTCCGACTTACTGCTCCTCGATGTCTATCCACTTGGTCTGGGCATTGAAGACATTCATGGTCACATGCACACATTCATTCGTCGTAATACAACAATTCCAACGAAAACTCAACTTTTTCCAGTATTCACAAATGCTTATGCCTATCAGACAACAGCTACTATTCGCATATATGAAGGCGAACATGCGCTTACAAAATACAATGTATGTAGTTTCCTACATATATAAATATTATTTGTTAGCATTCTCTATTGTAGATATTCTTGGGTGAGTTTAGTCTCTCTGGTCTATCAAGCAATTTCGCTGCTCAAACGCTCGAAATTGCTATTCGCATGGATGTCGATGCCTATGGTATAGTTCGTATCGACGCTGAGGAAGTACGTTCGGGTGCCAAAGCTTCATTCACTGTTGACCCCAGTAGTCAGAAAAGTACGATAATTAATTTGATGTTTGATATCATAATTAAATATCATTTCAATGTGTTTAGGACTCACAAGCGATGATATAAAGCGACATATTCAATATGTACAAAGTGATGCAGATTTCGCAGCGGAATCTAGTCAGTGTTAAAAAAAGTAAATGATATTTAATTGTTGTTATTTTGTAGTTTATGATCGCAAGCCTAGTAATCCATTGTACATGGTATGTATCATATCGTTTTATCATAATTTGGTTGTCCACTTTTTGTTTTTTGTCAGCTTGATGGTCAAACTGAAAATGTAATACACAACTTCTGTGGTGAATCCGTTACCTCATTCGGTAATTTGTCTTTTGTTATTATTTGTGAGATATACTGCAATAATAACTATATATGAATTCAGATGCAAAGGTTGATATTCCACTTCTCAGTAAACTGAAAGATGTTCAATCAACAAAAACAATGATTGAAGAACTTCTCAAACTTCAATTCGAGGTAGAATCAATTTGAAATTCCATTAATTATTTATTGTTTGACATTCAATTATGAATCTAGGATGGTTCATTTACGCTAAATAAAGACTTAGCTGACATACTTCACATCAATCTTGATACTTTCAATGATCTTGAACGCTATTTATATGAACAAGGTTTTAACTCTCTTGGTAAGATCGAATAATTTATTATTAACATATTGAAACACGTACTTCAATTTTGTTAGCTTTAAACATACGTAATGAAATTCTTCGTTTGATCGGTACGGGTGTTATTCTACTTTGGCTCGTTCTTCAAACTGGAGCTTCACAACAAAATACATTTGGCTTTTTATTTAACAGTGAGCTAATCAAAGTAAATTGATATTTTTCTACCTTCTCATTTTCCCTAACCTAATGTCTATATCTTGCTAAGGTTGATCTTTCCAACTATTCACCTGCTAACATGAGCAAACAAATTGACAAAGCGATCAAATTCTATAAACTAGCTAGTCAACGTAATAATGTATATTGTAGACAATTAGAATTGAACGTTTCATCGTGGGATATGTTTATTCAACGTATTCTTATCGGAATTGATCGTGACAATAATTAAGAAATAAGAGTTGAGTGATATTTATTCTTTCTTGATAATTTTACTTTTCATTTTTATTATTCTAATCGTGAAGTTTTCTAACATTATTTACTTGTCGACTGCAATAAAGAGATTTTCATCGAAAATCATTAAGGCCATTACCAATTATTACTGAAAATAGAACATAAATATGCGAGGGTGTGGATGTAGGTTTGGACATGAAAGAAGAGAAAAGCCACACTGTATACTCATACACTTCTTTTCCATAAATTGAAATGCGGCCATACAAAGTTATTTTAGCCAGAAAAAAATCGAAGATATAATTTTACAAGATCTTATAAGATATTGAACTATGTTGATAAGATTGTTTGACCTGAAAATATATCAATATTTATTTTGTTGATAGAATTTTTATCAATAAAATTTGACAAAATATAATAACAAGATCAACTTTCACACCACAATAATAGTAATATTTATTTACAGTATGTATGCAGTGATGACTAGAATGAAAAAGCTTTCAGTACAATTCATACGAGATTAAAATGTGAAATTACACTGTAGTTGTTCAATCGCCCATGAAAACTCTTGTTACATTACAGATGAAAAACAGAAAAGATTATTTTGCTTGCTATGAATATATACATTAACATTGTTTATCGAGCATGTTTTTACGAGAGTTATTAATACAATTATTTGTTGATTTTTAAAATACAGCTATTTTCACTTTTCGATAAACGGATCTAATTAAGTTTATACAGTCATGTCTAAATACTGTTCCGGTTAATGTGTAAATATAGAATGGCATTCCAAAACTCATAAAACTTAGAAGGTAAAATACTTGAAAACAAAGATTTTCAATTGTAGATCTTAACAAACTTTTTTGTATATTTAATGTTGATGTCAAATATAGACGTTGAATAGCCAATGGAATATTGAATATAGTCAATAGAATAATTTGAACAATTAACATTTGAATCAATTGTCGATCTGTTTTTTTCATTGTTATTGCTATTCCACGTGAATTAACCATCGATACTATGGGATAAAGTAATTTTCTCACATTTTGTACAGTTGCATACCCAAATATTAACATAATTGTTGATGGTATAAAAACGAATACTACTGCTGAAGCAATTTCATTGTATAAACGACATATCATATTTTGACCATAGCATGTCAATGGAGAATTGCGAAGATTTGGTATATAGCAATAGAAAGTTTCGGCAAATATTAATGATCCACCAACAACTGTAATGATCATTAATCTCCGTGTAAAACGAAGATTGCTTAGACTCCGACGTTGTACATCACGACAACTTATAAAATACCTATCAATAGTGGCATAAGTCAAAAACCAGGATGAAGCCGTTGTTGATACCCAAACAATGAATGCGCGTAATTTACATATTATAGCATTTGTTGCAGATGCATCAAGTGAGAAACCGACAAAAAATCGACTCAGTAAACCTGAATAAAGAGCAATTAAGCCAGCAATTGATGCATAGAAAAAATAGACAGCACACGGATTTGTACGATGTTTAGGTTGATAAAATATTAACAAATTTAAAACATTCCCAATAGTACCGAATAAAAGAATAAACATGGACAAATAGCGATTTGATTCAAATGTAAATATTGCCAATGTAGAAGTGATACTGGTTGACATTGTATTCGACAGTGATGTCAAAAAAAAGAAGATGGAAAGCAAAAAATACCACCCGCTGTTTAAGTAATAATTGCGTGATGTGTCAAACTGTTTTTTTTTTTATTCTACTAACTTGTGAGTGACACATTGATTATATTTAATTAATGGCAAATGCAAAAATGATACTCTCGTGATTATGCAAAGAACTTCATGTGAACATTAGCTATTTTTAATCTATCTATCGGAACAGACTCAGTATAACAGCAAGCAATGAATTAATGGAAGAAGATATTCGTCATCAAATATTCAATGTAGCAATACTCACCGATATGAATCCAGATAGTATACCATGATGTGTTTATTTTAAATGAGATTGAATTAAATTTACTCGTACACAAGCCATAATTGTTGTGTACAATGGACAACTGATAGCCGAATAATATGCTTTAGGTTTTCCAAGAATTTAAAAATCTTTGATTGAAGTATGACACAAAGTATAACTTACGCACTCACGAGTATTCCAGGACTGGACCATATCCCCCTATCAAAGAGAAACTGTTCCACTTCAAGCATAAATGCTTCAATCACATAAAGTCAGAAAGAAACGCTTTTTCACAAACACACTACCTTTATTCGAACACATCACTACAAGAGAAAACGAAAAATAACAAACAGAACTACTCCATCGATGTCTCCATTTACAAAAACAGAAGTCGGAAAGACTTACAGAGAAATGGATCATTTGACTTTTTTCATGTTAACCGCTGTTTCTAGTAGAAATGGATTTTTTCTATTAGAAATCGTTATTTTTTAATGAGAAATGCTTCATCCACATCTCCATTCACTAGCCGAAGTCTAAATGACTTGGAGGAAAATGAATCATTTTACTTTTTCCATCTTAAGGGATGTTTCTAGTAGAAATGCATTTTTACTATTATAAAATCATTATATTTTCAGGCAAGTACTTCATCCATATTTTCATTCACTAGAAGAAGTCGAAGAGGGTGAGAGAGAAATGGATCCTTTTATTTTTTTATCTTAAGGGCTGTTTCTAGTAGAAATGGATTTTTTCTAGTTGAAATGGTTATTTTTTCAGGAGAAATATTTCATTCACATCTCCAGTCACAAACAGAAGTAGAAAGGACTTGAATACAAATGGATCATTTGACTTTTTTCATCTTAAGGGGTGTTTTTAGTAGAAATGGTTATATGTAAAGAAGAAGTGCTGGATTATGTATCCATTCACAAGAAGTCTGAAAGACTTAGAGTTTATCTTAAAAAGATCTTGTAGCAGATATCGATTTTCAGTAGCAGAAATGATTAAACTATTTCTGCGGAGTGCTTCATTTATTTCTCTACTAATAAGAAGAAATGGAAAATATTCAAAGAGAATACAGTAATTTTTTTTTATCTGAAGAAGATCTTCGAACTGATATAGACGAGATTTTTTTTAACGATTATCTGGTGAAAATATATTTTACACAGTAGAGATATAATTAGTCGTCATGAATCTGAATATTTGTGATTGGTGCAGATTCCTAGTGTTTTAAATTCAAGTATATGTACAATATCGTATAATAGATTATATGTATATAGATATTTTTTTATTCTTTGTTTCCATTTCTCCTTGATATGTATGACTTTATGTGGGGTGAAGCGTTTCTCCATAAAGTGGAACAACTTCTCTCATCGACTGGTCCAATTGTCCACTGCTGGAGTGTTCTAGTAAAAGATATGAACTTTAATAACGATGTGTTTGTTCCTGTACCAGAATGAGATAATCTCAGTGATCCTCCTCATTCAATAAGGTGAAGTGTAAGTGTGATTATCGGTGTTTGCATCTTTTCTTTATTCACACACTACACCCACATTCATGATCATTTGAGTATGATGTAAACTTTTATTGGTTTTCATACATTTCAGGTTACGAAGATAAAATAAGACTATTGTCATGATGTAATTCAAACAATGATATCAAATTTTGTATAATATTTATCTAATTGATTAAAAATACAGATGTTTCAAGAGACATTGCACTAAATCTCAGTGTATTTTTCTCTCGTTTCTTTATCCTGAAAGAAAATTCGCTCTTATACCTAGCGATAGAGAATTTCAAGCTTTATCCTAGTTTCATCTTGTCCTATTCACATCTACCCCAAATAACATCCATGCTTTTTTCCTTTCAAAGATATGTTTTTACAGCACAGGCTCCTATCGTCGACAAATATAACTAAGCACATTTTTTTCACATTTGTTGATTTGTTTTATATGGTGAACTTTTTGTTTTATGTTGAAATGCATTTTGTACTCAAGAGTTTTTTCTTTCTTTCGATGAAAATATTTTTATGGCAGCATGCTCTCAAGAGTGACTGTTGCTTTTCTTATTGATGCAGTTTTGAAGTGCGTGTTTTTTTTTCTATTATATGGCTGCAATGGGTAAAACTTTTGTGCTTTAATCTTTTGATATAAGAATTCGGGTCAACGTCCATATTTTACGGAATCTTTACTTTTATATTCTTTATGTTATCCAACGTTCTTGAAAACTAACTAGACCGGATTCGAACTCGAATCGAGTGTGAACTATGATACGAAATACGATATCTTGGTGGTCAGCGAATAACAGAAGATTCATTCATCTCTATCGGATTTTCTAACTAGAATAAAGACTACTGAGTGATTTGAAAACCTTGCTAAATGGCAAGACTACCTTCTCTGTCATGGATGTGGGTACTGACAAAGAGGAAATTTAGAATTACCCACCCATCTTTGTCTAGTTCGTCTTCAGGATCTGAAAACAATTCTGATATTCTTGCTAAAAAAGTGTATTTTGCACTAGAAAGAAGCCAAGACAATTTCCTTTTTCAGAATAATACACAAAATATATCCGTGCTCACTTTTAATTTTGATTTTTTTCATAGGAACATTGCTGATCAATTGTACACATAACAACATAGTGTTTGAATATAATGAATTTCCGTGATCGACTCATTCATAAAATTAATAGAACACATAAACAACTTTCTACTCCAGTTTGGTCTTATTTTCGACACTATCAGCTAAGCAATCGTCATCGTCGAGAGAGTAGTTTATCAATTCTATTGTTTCCTGCATGGATGATCATGTTCTTCATAGCTCTAGCTATTGATTTATGCATTTATCTTGTTGTTGTTTTTTGGTTTATGTTTGTTTTAATTCTAATAACAACTTCTTTCATTTTTCTTATACTTTACATTTTATGCCTCTGTTTACGAAAGCCAATATTTAACAGCTGATAAAATAATTATATGCCAAGATAAATAAACCAACTTCTCAGTTTGACTCCTAGAAATATAATAGACAGAATGAGGATAGTGTTATGAGCCGATCATATATATCGAAACATATATGTCAGCTTCCCATTTTAAAATGACACGCTACCGACACATGTGTCGACATAAAGTGACACAAAAATTACTCAAGTCTTAGAATAACGAAATATTTCGTTTACAAGATTTAAAAAATTTTGACACATAATGACACGCTGGTATAACATGTGTCAAAGCGTGACAGTACTTCATGTGTCATTTTGGTTTTTTAAACGTTTTGACACATGAAGTATTGTCACCCTTGGACACATGTATGCCAGCGTGTCATTATATGTCAAAATGCTTTAAAAATTGTAAACGAAATATTTCGTTATTCTAAGACTTGAGTAATTTTTGTGTCATTTTGTGTCAACATATGTATCGGTAGCGTGTCATATTGAAATGGGTTACAACTATAGCTGTAGGAAAGCAATAACTAGTCTTAATGCATGGTTGTCAGATAAGTGATCCAAATTAACTTTTCATAAATCTTTTAATGCATGTGATTTGATCACATACAGATTGTGGGTTAGCTTCTTAGAGTACATTTTGTTTTAGTCCACAGCCACAGACTAATTTATGATTTCCAGCATACGATATAATTCAAATTTTTGAAGCCGAAATGTCGTTATTGAACACTCGAATATTGAATCGCTGTAGTGTATTTGTTGAAGATTAGTATGAGATTAGAAACTTTCTTCATTCAGGAATCGATGCGTTCTTCAACCACATATCAACGGTGATCATATTTATGAGAGCCAATGATCTCTTTGATAACTGCTCGGATACATTTTTGTAGAAGTGATCATTGTCAAGACTTGTGCATAATAGTGAGTGGAGCATTGTTGACGGTAGGTCTCTTTCATAGAGGAACACTGATAGGGTTAATTTTACGTTATGATTTTCAAATAAAATATTGTGTCCAAAGTTTGTAGAATAATGCATAGGATGAGCTATAGCACGTGAGAATTTAATGAATAGATTTTCTTCAGTGTCAATATCAAGTAAAAAGTAGTGTTGTTAAATTTGTTTATGTTGGGTAAAAGTGAATATTTGAGACTTTCGAAAACTATTAAAACTGGATGTCCTACAGTCAAATATTACCTTTCATAAAATTCCTACAAGAAGAATGGATTGATATGTTACCAACGTGAATTTTTAAAAAAATGACAATATTTATTAATGGAGTAGTCTCACTGAAAATAGATAAAAGAACAAACATGAACTCTTCTCATCGATAAAAAAGTTCTTTTTTTGTTTGAGAGATTCGTTGTCAGTTACGCACAAAAGAGAAAATATATACAGAAAGTGAGTAAGTTCAATCTCATCGCACTACTCAATATGCTTCACATTCACTGAATACATGACAGATTGGTATAGAATAATAGATCACAATGCACGATGAAATCATTAATTCATCTTCATCTTCTCCTTAATTAACTTGCACACTAGGTGTGTATCATTTTTGTTCATAGTAAGAGTAATCTTAGGCCAATAACCTGTGTCTAATAGAATATAACATTCAAGAGAGTTACGATAAAAAGTAGCATGCCAACAAATAGATGACAATGCCATTCCCTACATTTAATATATAAAAAAGCCTAGATTTTCTATACTATTTCTATTCGAACATGGTAGATTGTCCAATGACACCGAGTTTATGCGAAATCAATCGTTTTTGGAGCTATATACTAGAGATATCTGAAACACTTCGACAAAGAAAGATATAAAATGATTATTTTTATTTAGATACATAATGTATCTTGTATGCCAATTAAGAGACGTCTCATTCAAAAATACCTGGAGATTTTAGAATATCGAAAAACATGGAAACAAACTGGTTTCGAATCTCGATCATTTATGCAAAACCTAATCAAAAATTATAAATATAATTTTTGTTTTCATTAATGCATCTACAATCAAATCTTATTCAGAAGTAATTTAATAATTGATGTTGTACATGTAGATGGCAAATGTAGCTGCAGCCGTTTGACATGCATGTTTTCTTCTGATGGAAGCCGACCACAATCAAGTTTCATCCTTCATGAATCATCTGGAGAGAAGATGGTTAAAGCACGTAGATTTTTCATGCTATTGACTGAATGTGATACAACATTATAGATTCCAACATGCATGGGAAGAGTTTTCCAACTATCATATTCGAAAGTGCGTCGGACGTTGTATAAGATTAGAGATGATTTTAAGTTTCGGGCAAAGACGTTTTTTGATTTTGAAACCTCATTTTCTGCTAAATATTCAACGTCCCATGCTCTTTCAAATATGATATTTCCGAGACGAATATTCCGCATATAGAAATGATAAAGAGTTTACAGGAACAGTGTCAGTTGTCTTTTATGAAATATTTATTTCAATTCATAGTTATTTATTTATAGAAAGGTTTATTTATCAAAAGATAGCTCGTGTTTTGCTCGTTCTATTTATATGGCTTCAGTTCTTTCGAACAATTCCAGACAGAAATCAATTTAAAAGACCGTCTAAAAGCTTTCTGTCCGACAAAAATTGACCTTTTCACTTTGTTATACGTCCAGTTTCACTATGACTCAACATTTAACGATGAAATTTTCTGATAATATATCACACCCTCTTGAAGTATCATTTGATCGTATATTATTAACTTAATCACAAATATGTAGCTAAGAGATGGAATTTTAGAAAAATAAAGGCTGAAAAGTTTCATCTCTCTAGATTGAAAACTCATAATCAGTTCTTCATTTAACTCATTCATTGTACTGAATATATTATAGAGTCTAACATGATGCCAATTGGATCATTTTCCATTGATACTCATCTTTTTATTGAGAATGATTACCTCAACCAATTATAACCATATGCTGAACTTCTTTTCATATGAAATATCGATATTTGAATAAGATACTTAACTCGCGTTGCATAATCATTTTGAGTACGATGAAAATTTTTATTGATTTTCATACATTTCTACTTAATAAAATAAAATAAGACAATTATCTTGATAGAATCCAAGCGATGACATCAAATATCGAATAATGTTAATCTAAGTAAATAAAAGTGCGCATGTTCCACGAGAAATTGTGCTAATCTGAACTTACTTAGTTGTCCAACTACACCGATCAATAAAACGAAAACTAATGACAATGTTTTGATGAAAGTTTTGGTAAAAGTTTAAGCATTTCATCAACTTTTTTGTAAAATTCTGCATTATTGATTGAGTGTTTCAGAATTTTAGAAGAGAACCTTAGAAGAAACAGTTTTCGAAGTACAAAAATGTAACATAAACGATAAAAGTCCTTCTCTAGTAAATTTATGATGTTTTTGTTATTTCAATTTGAGGCAACCTAAATATTTTCATTGTTGAATTTCATCTTTACACAGTTTTGTTAAGAATCAAATTTTACATCTGATAGCATAATAATAAATCTTTCAAAGAAAAAGCCTGACCTTTGAACACATGGTTTTCCAAAGTGCACTGAATATTGCTGGGGTGTGGGTGTGTAGGTGTACTCATGTTCGACATTTACACTCATATTCACCCCCACCATCACACATTCACACCAACCTCGCACCCACACTCATATTTTGTTTTGTTAGAGGTTTTTGAAAACATATTCGATTGAAAATACAGTTTTGAGTGATCAATCAAATTCAGTGGCATAACGAATTATATCATCTTTATTTTAATTTCTTCCTCTTTATTGGCCTAGTATTCATTCTCTCCTTGTCTGATCATTGCCTTCTCGTATGATCGCTATGCTTGACTATGCCAATATAGAATATTTTCAATTAGAGTTATTTTATTACTTTTCGGAAATCATTTCAATAATGATTTTACCTACAGTACGACGATTCATTTGCAAACGAAATGCTTCCTGAATACCTTCTTCTGTAAATGGCATACGATTGGCTATTGCTACCTTGAGCTGGTTGGCCTCACAAAATTGACGCAATGATTCGAGCCTCCTAGTGCTATCCGGAAATCTGACCCAGAATAGCTGTCTGCCATTTGCGAACCAGTCAATACCAAAAAATCGTTTGATGTGTGCAAGAACCCAGTCCGTTACGATACCTCCAATTAAAATATACATTCCAGTAACTAATTTGGGTTTCGTATTACGAATTCGAGTTTCATAAGCAAAATTTGCATCTCGCAGATCATGGGAGGAAACAGAGTCAAAAACTAAGTCAAATGGACCATGACGTAATGTAACAACATGTAAATCCTCTAATATATTTGTAGATAGATCGTAGAAGAGAATTTCGTCTGCGCCAAGACCTTTAACGAAATCTGCATTACGTGAACTAGTTACTGCAGTCACTCTTGCGCCTTTGATCTTGGCTATTTGTACGGCAACATGTCCAGTTCCACCCGAAGCGCCCAGAACCAGAACATGCTGTCCAACCATTAGATTATTGTCCTCGAAAGCTTGCAGAGCCGTCAAACCAACTAAAGGTATCGCACATGCTTCGGCAAACGATTTGTTATTGGGTTTGTGGCAGATGAAATCAGTTGGTGCCCTTACATACTCTGCGAACGAGCCGCAAAACGGAGGAATTGTACCAAAAACTGCGTCGCCCACTGTATACTTACAACCTGGAGGAGCTTCGACTACTATACCACTGAAGTCAATGCCGCAAATTCTGCTCTCAACAAACCATTTCACCAGAGGTAAACAGAAGTGAGGCAATTTGTCTCCATAAAGAAATTTTGCATCTACCGGATTCACGCCACCGCAATATACACGGCATAGTACCCACTGGCGGTCAGTCACTTCACCATAAGGACCCGGAATACTAGGAAACAACCAACGTAGTAGGCACATAAAATGACTAATGCAAGTGAAAACAAGATTGATTATTTGAAAAGACCAAAAACGGATTATGTTAGTGGAAGTCGGCTCATACACTGTTGTTGTTAGTGTTGGACGTGGAACGGTGGCGAGCCTCACACTATTGGTGGAATTCTTTGAATAGATAGCAGCTTTCATTACAATGATTTTACGAAATGCTTTTTGATCCTTTCATAATGTTATTTTTTTTTCATCAGGTAAAGAAAAAAAAACGAGAGGGTAGAACAAGATAAGAGTAAGATAAACTTATAAAAAAAAACCCATACGCATGTTGTTGATCATTGAAAGTTGCCTTCAACATAATCTTTAGCAACTAAATTGAATTTTTTCTATAGGTTAAGACAGATAAATGCTAAGCACAATTGAATTTCTAAGAATACGTCAATCGACGAAGTAGCGTCTGCCTATGTTAACTTTCCTAGAAGTTCAAGTATAGCACAATTAAGAAGCATTCAACAAATGCTTACCCATTACTGTCGATTAGACTTATTCTGACATTTCAAATTCTTACGTAAATTTGTGCTACATTGCAATCTGTTCTCATAATTTTCATGAAAACTTCGACTCTTTCTTGAGTTTCAGCGCACTTTCGACGGAGAAATGATCACTCTATTCAGATTTAAAAAAAGCGTGAATTTTTATTGCTTTTGAACATGGAATAAATTTAGAAGAAATATGTTTATGACTCAAATTCCGTTTCTGCTGGAAAGCAGTAATGTACATCACTGAATTTATCGCGCGCGAATACAAATAAGAGTTTTAGCGGTTCTGTGCCGGTATTGTAGCAAAAATGTTCAGCATTGGCAGGTATCCATACTGATGTGCCCGGTTTGACATCTGTTTCCATACCATCGATGTGAACTCTTCCTGTTCCACTTAAAAAATAATATCTGGACGAACAAGAAAAACAAAATAGACTTTAAAATGATACTGAATAAACAACGTACACTTCCTCTGCATCGTGTGTATGACCACGTTTCGTAGGAGGAGCTCCCACTGGAACTTCTGCAATACCCATAGTGAGCCCTGTTGTTGATGTTATGTCACCATTGATTAGTTCCCACCACTTCACATAACCACGCTTTGGATGATTCCATTCTTGAGTTTCACAATCGTCAACACAGCGAAAAACAGGTTTAGGTTTATGTTCATCCATGACTGATAATCAAATACTGATGAAACGTATTTTAACGTATATTTAGCATTTTGTCTAAAAGAAAATGAAGCTCGAGGATTCTGATATTGCTTTTCTGATATACTTCTTTATTGCAGAATATGAAAAAGAGACAAAATATGCGATATGGAGAAGATAATATAAAAAAGTAAAGCTATAATAAATGAAGTAACATAACTATGCAATAGATACTGATTATTGTCACCTTTTGCTTAGGTTATTATGCAATTTTGATGACTGAAACCTTCTTTTTTTGTTTAAACTTGTTAGGTCACAATTTCACTGCATAAGATAATTAGTTAAGTTCTACCTTATTTTTCTTCTACAGATTTCCTTTCAGAAATGAAAGTAGCTGCAACAATTATATTTCTGCTTGACTCTGCTAGTTTCGTAGAAATTTGCTTATCGCAACAACGTTTGCCTCTATATGTTGCCAAAGTTAATAACCCAACAGCACACATATCAGAACAAACAAACAAACAAAAGATATAGAAAGAAAGAATAAAACTTCTTCTCTGTGTGTTTCAAGATCTTTTACTCCTTAAACACACAGAAGAATTCAGAAGAAAATCTTGATAATGCAGAAAGGGAGCGGTGATGTTTAGTGTATTCTTTGGAATGTTACCTTCACTCTCAGCTCCCCCCCCCCCTCTCAAGTCTTCTTCCCTCCTACTACCATCTTCAAGACCTGGCGTTTTCTTTTTCAGCAATGTAAATAGGTGAATAGTTAGTTTTTTTTCAAAAAAATTCCGTTTTTAATTTATGTTATTCAAAGCCACTGTTGTTACTTCATTTCTTATCAAGTTGTTGTCCTTAACAATTACCAATGTTTGCAAAGTGTTTCAGCTTGCTATAAGTTTTGTTCATTGACAATTGATGAAAATCTTTTTGCTTCAATTCTCATCTTATTCTTGTCATACCAAAGATTTTTTCTATCGATATTCTTTATGGAATTTTTGTATTAATTCACTTCGAAGTTTCCTTCACTTCGTACAGCACAAATCGTGAATATTTCCATCAAATACATTCTTTGATTTTCGTAGAAAATCAGCCTATTATATCTGTTGTACTAACACTCGTCAGTTTTCGGAAATGATCCTTTCTCTCTGTATATTAAAATTCAACCTAGTTCAATCATGCATCTCATTGATGTTGAATCTCAAGTCAAGTTGGCATTTGAACTCAAAGTATTTTATAGTAGGTTTGTTTCAGCTCTACTTCTTGCAACAAGATTTGGACTAAAAAGTTAATGATACCAGTGCAAAAAAAAATATTACACAAAGGGTAAGTGTTTTGAACCATTCGATAATAAAATCTTCTCTATGAACATTATATTTGCTATTGAATGCACTTCATTTAATGGTTTCATTATTAGTTTTCTAATAGTTGTTTTATGATTTGTTGAATAATCTAATTTTTCTGTTTGCTTTCTTTTATGTCAGTAAAAAGATTACGAAGAAAACTATGAGATAAATTTTTTTTTAGAATCAAAAAAGTTGTTTTAATTAGTTTTTTACAAATAAAAAATGCTTAACAACACTAGCTCTTTCAAGTTATCATTTTCTCACAATCGTTCACTCATATTTTGCATAGAAACCAATATGTGGAAAATAAAATGGTGCCTATGTCAGAAGACATGAGTGTGAGTATTGACATCCTGTTCACTCACACAACAGATCGATATTTTCAAAGTTTTTTATTCTTATGTCAGTTTCTTACGATTTCTCAAAATATTGTTAATATTTGATATTATCGTTGATAACTGACATTTCATTCTGTACGATTGACCTGCTGAAAAGAGTTGATTGTGTCATAAATGAATCAGTTGTTTAACAATAAACTTTGTTTTTTTTATTCATGATACAGGACAAATATTGGTCCTGTTGAATTTTAGTCATTGCTAAAATAAAAGTTTTTTGTTTGTGAGCATATTTAACTCTTAAAACTTTGAAATATCTCTACCCGTGTTACAATGGAGTGAAAAATTGGTGATTAGCACACGATAATCATCTTCACCAACAAATAAAATGATTATAAAAAAGTACAGAATATCATTGGAAATACATTGAAACGTATTATTATTGTTTTCAATACGTTGATGTAGGTTGATGCTCTGACTTTGTAATTTACTGTGAGTCTTGTCAATACGAAGATTGAGTATTGTTGTATGTAACTAGTTGAAATCGTTGTATATTTTCATATTGCAAGAGATCAAGTGCGAACATATTTTCTTTTAAAAACAGTTACAGAAATTCTAATATATTCAATAGTTCATGTTTAACTCGACATTGAATTTTGAAACAATGCAAATCCTAATTCATTATAAATCTGTATTGTAGTTTTTCAGGAATCAAAAGATAAAATGCAATGAATGAAATCTACTCGTACATCATGTTTGTCACGTCTGTGTATACTATTTATAATTTTTGAATTAGTGTTCTTCTATCAAATTTGCATTGGAGAAGTTCTTTTTTTTTGAGATCTCTTGTTATTTTGTACCCCACTGCGAACATTACTTATAAAATAAAAAATCTCTCCAGTTTTGCTCGAATTAGGAGAGTGGTGTACCATGTAATCGTTATTCATAGCTTATATGAACAATTTTGTTGATGTGAACCAATAGAAATGCTATAGTCAATAGTGTTAGTTTAGAGTCATCGCCATACACTTTTAGGACGTGTTTTTGATGATAGTACGTGTCACAAAAATGGCTTCTGGTTATTATACAATCATACGTTATGATAGCATAGATAATCTATACACATATTAGTATAAAGGCTCAAATTCTAGTTAAAACTTGCTGGAATGATTATAAATCATTAGTGAAAGATGTGATAAAAGTGTCAAGTAGATCAAAATGTCATTCATGTGGACAAAACCGTATGGGAAACAAGAATCGGAATAAATATGTCTAAAATTAATAGATCTTTCTGTAAACATTTTCAGAAGAGCTTTGATCTCTATTTGATCTATCCTTAGATATAATATTGTTAAAAAATCAGTATAATGTTTGCAACTCTTTCTAAATAGATCATGTTTCCGAAAATATTCAGACTTCTAATGATTCTCGAGATATTTACTTGCAATCAAACTACGAAGTCAAAACAATTTAGGAATGTTCTCTGATCAATCATCAAATAGAAATATTATCATCGAGTTTTTCTCTAAATTCTATATCAAATTGCTTCATGACATACTTTCGTCTGTCATTCAGCAATCGTTGAATTTATCTTTTGTTATTTTGTAACACATTGAGATCGTCTATCATGAATAACTAAAAGCAAAATCCATTTTATTAGCAAGAAAAATGTTTCTGCTAAAAAAACTCAAAATGTAAAGCATTATGAAGCAACTTCGACTGTACACAATGACAAGCTGTTAATATATTACGATTCGTGTGAATGTTAAAGAAATAATATGCCGATACATCCTTCACTACCTGGGATCAGGCCAAAAATGCCTCTTACGAAATTTAGAGCGAGTCTGAGATTCAATTTTCTTAGTATATGAGTTGGCACTCATTAATAATCATCTTACACGAAATAACGTGTGTACTACTTACACTGAAGCTCATTCGATTTAATATGAGATTTAATAGTATTAGTTTCAGCTTTTTATGTAATAAATTTTAAATATAGTTGTCCTCGATTTTTTCATCATGATCACAAATAATTAAACACTGTTTTGGTAAAATTCTAAATTGTAAATAAATATAAAATGTATAAATATCCGAGACATATTCGTGTATGTGTAGTTGTGTGTTGAACAATCAGTGGAGAGTGTTCGAAAAAAAATTCTTTATTTATACATATGTTTAAGTGAAAAAATTTTGCAAAATGAATTTACAGTCACTATAGTTATGAATTTGTCTATCAAATGGTATGATGTAGTCATATGAATTTAGACTGGCAACATCGTTATTTGTTTAATCGAACATGTCCATTTGTAAAATCATTCTAATTCAATTTAACTCGTGCTACATTTATTTTCTAAAGGTAAAAGCGTGAGAGACTGTCTTCATCAAATGATTGTCATTGTAGCAAAATGTAAAGAAACAAGAAAAAGTAATATACTAAAAATATTAATTAGTTATGGCCCTTCTAATAACCTGTAATGAATGCTGTTGTTCTTTCGCAACACTTTGTTGAATAATAAATTTAGGATCGCGAATGTTATTAGACTTGAAGCAAAGAGTTTATTATAATTCTACAATCGTATCACTAAGCAAAAACAAGATTTGTTATTCATTCACAATAATAATCAAGTTTTCTTAATTAGATGAAAAGAAATGAATATGAATTGCGTATTTCAGTTGATCATGAATGTTGTTAGTATATAGCCTTAGGTGAAAAAATATTGCACGCAAATACTGTGAAGTGTATTTGTATTTGTTTTTCTAAAAAATAATGATAGAATGCAGAAGTGATTTATTATTGTAAGAGTAAATTACGTTTAGAAAAGAGAATCAAGATAAATAAAAGAATCACTAAGGAAGCAATTGAAGGTGAAAAGTAAAATATTTCATTTCAAGTTTCCGCTACTGCGATAACGACATAAGTTAGACAAACAAAAAGTCATTATCTGAATGATGAATAATTTCGGCTTTGATCGAAAACCATCGGTTACATCTGTGACTGAAACTGAACGCAGTATGGTTCAAGCAGAGATCAATATGATCAATGCTACTGCTGATGCCGTCATTCCATTAGGCATTTGGTGTTCAAAATGGAGAAAATTTTGGGATAATTATGAATGGCGTATGCGACATTATTTTTACATACATCTATCGGTATTTTTCTGCAATACACTTTTGTGCGGCGTCATCATTTGGAACATTGAACAACAACGTGTATCCTATCTCGATTGTTGGTTTTCGAGTGCAACATGTGTATTTACATGTGGATTGGAAACTTACGATTTTGGATCATACAGTCTAGCATCACAAATTGTATTACTTATTTTTACTGTAATTTCAGGTAATAGGACAAAAATGATAGAAAAGAAACGAAACTTTTAATCAAAACAGATCATCTATGATTTTTCTGTGTGTTTATCATACAGGCATTACGGTCAGTACACTTCCTGCTATTTTCATCAAGATTTATCGAGTCAAACGCGAAATAACACCTGATGAAGAAACACTTTCATCGACTATCAATGACAATAGCTTACCAATTACAAAACTTGTTCGAATCAATTCTACTGATCCCATATTGGACCAACGTCTTCGATTACTGCCTAGTCCAAAAGATCTTCGTACTACAGCATATATCATCCTAATTATTCTCATTCTTTCGACTTGTTTCGCTATTTATCTTATCTCATTTCTTACCATTAGTATGTGGCTTAAATATCATTATGATCCACAATTTTTACGTCAAGACAACAGAACAGTGGATCCGTTCTATGCTTCAATTGTCATCACTCTGACCGGTTTCAATCAAAATGGCCTTTCACTATGGTATCGTATTTAATATTTTATTCTATGTGTCTATATACATAGTTTCAAAAGTGATAGAGTTTGAATAATTTTTTTGTCAGAAATTTATACTTGTTGACAGATCTTTTGTATAAAAGAAAAGTGTTTCTAGGAAAGGCGGTATGTCACGTTTTGTCACGGATGTCTTCATGAACATAATCATCATGCTTATTGTCATGTCTGGTACATCTTTATTTCCGGCCATTCTTCATGGAATTGTCGAATTACTCAAATATATGGTACCGTAAGTATTTTTACTGATTCCTCCTTCACATTAAATTTTAAAATAGCTAATTAAAATATTACTATTTTCAGTTGGCGACATAAGATCTATTTTGATTATATCTTATTGAATAATCATCGGCTATCTACTGTGATATATCCATCTGTTCAAACACGACTCTATGTTACTATTACCGTTTTGTTACAGATACGTCAGTGATCATATTGTCGAATAGTTTAACTTATTGTTTTTTTTCATTATTTCAGTTGGTGTAGCAGTGTGTTTGGTGAACGATTTTCATAACGATGCATTGGTGATATATAGCCAAGGTCAACGATTCATGATATTTATGCTTCAGACAGTGAACACTCGTTTTGGAGGTACTGAGTGATTAGTATATTTTAGTGGAAAAATGTACACTTATTTTTGTTTTTGTTGTGAAAGGTTATGCAACAATCGATATAAGCGTACTTTCTGCGGGAACTTTGATTATTTTTATTCTCTTGATGGGTATCAAGCCTCAAATGGTACGTTTACTGTTCTTTTGTCAAATATGATTATGAATTACAGTTGAACTTTTACGGATCGAAATCATTAGAGAATTTTCATATGATCTTATTATCTATTTGACACCATTTTAACAGAATTTTATTAAAAAAAATGATAATCTTCCATAGGAAAAGGACGATTTTGTACTAAATTTGGTTTAGTTTTACTTGAAGTTGCTCTATAAACTAATGACAATCAGTAACGAAAATAGTATCAATCTGAAAACTATTCGAAAATAATGAATTCTACACATAAAAAATGATCGTTGTTATTGTTAAAAATAAATCCGACATTAGTAACAACCCTTAATTTGCCTGTCAATATTTTTCTATTGAATTGTATTCTTTGTTAGCTTCGAATAAGTTCGCTCTTCAGCAGAGGAACGTATAGTTGTTGGTCATTTTTCATAGATCTTTGTACTCAGATGGGTTAAACTTAACCTGATAGTACTAATGAATAAGGCGAAAATTTCGTTCTTTTTCACGATTGAAACTACCCTGTTGCATTGACATTTTTATTCTTTCGAAGTGTCACGACAATTTTTTCCGACACATAACACATAACCATTTTCTCCTTTTTAGTTGTGTGCAATTGATGAAACGCCCTTTGAAATGGAATGGATTCTTTTGCAAACGCAACAAACATTAGAAAATAACGTATCGAATGGTAGCCAAAATGCCAACTTTAAAGTTTTCTTACCATTTAATCGAATGCAAAATTATCTTTTGCGAAAAGGCTCGATTACTAAAGCTCAAGCAAATAGATATTTTGCTTCAACGATTTCTCTCAATCGTGTTGAAGCAGCTCTTGAGGAACTGAATGACAAACGAAATCAACATCGTTTGAGTATTGTATCCGCTGATCTGGGTTATATAAGAAATCGAAATGAAGAATTCAATCAAAGCAATATTCATATATCTCTACTTCGTATGAAACTCTTTTTGATCATTTTCTGTCGACATGTCATTCTCAGTTTCTTCAGTCTTCTTATATCGACTCGAGCATGGCTATTTATTTTTATCTTTCTTATTTGCAGTTTTGAATCGCCTCGTATGACACCTAATGATCCAACTATTACAGTACTCCGTGTGATATTCGAAGTGATGAGTGCTTTTGGTGGATGTGGCCTTTCAATGGGATTGGCGAAAGGAATGCCGAGTCTTGTCTCTGTTCTCAGCTCACCAAGCAAAGTTGTGATCATACTTGTTATGTGCATGGGTAGACATCGTGGCTTACTCGATTCCATGAAAGATCAAGAAGAGATCGAATACAGTGCACAAATACTTATAGATAGTTGGAAACAATTGGCAATACTTGAATATCAAGAAAAGAAAAAATTATTGGATGAAAAATTCAAACCACCAATATCAGTCCCATTTCCAACACCACCACTAGTTACTCGTTTTTGACATTATTGACTCTTGTCGTGCTTGTCAGTTTCAACTAATATTCTATTGAATACATAGATAGATGTAACTGGTAATCTCATTCTCATTGTTTGATTACTAGCACAGTTTTACATTTTCACTATTAGTATAATCATATATCTACAACGTGTACAAATAACAGTATTTAGATCTGTTAGGCATTTAATAGAATATGTGAGAGAGGATCGAAAAATCGAGACATTTTTCAAAGTTTATTTATTCTTAAATTTAATATGCTCATATAATTCAACGATGGCTGTATTCGATAGAAGGCTAAACTTTGACATTAGCGTGTAAAAATTATCCAGAGAAGTTAGTCTTGATTGTGATCGAAAATGTTGAAACTATCGATATGATTATCAACAATAATTGTGATGGTTTACGTCGTTTCCTGTCTTCCGTTTGTTGTATATAAAATAGAACCCATTGTCCTCTTTCCTATAGGATTTATACTGAAGTAGACTTGTTGTGTTCAACTGTGATCAAAGAAAATATTGACAATACAGGGTATTCCAAAAATCATCATATAATAAAGATTTTCAATATTTTCGACACGACTTCTATCAAATTAACCATAAAATACTTCCTCAAGATATTAGGTTCATGAAACGACTTCATTCTTGTGTCTATGCTAAGAGAAGGATTTATTGCTTTCTTTGATAAATCTAATAAGTTGCAAAAGACAGATCTATTGTTGCTAAAACTTGGAAACAAAATAGCTCGCTACAACTAAAAGGTTCATCAAAAATGACTATAGCTCAAGAAAACTGTACTATGAGCCTGAAATATTGCACAGGTATTTTACTCTCAAAGTCCTTCATGTTGAGCAGAAATAAGACCTTAAAGGCGATGACTTATTCAAGCCGATTTTCTTCTCAGTCAGGGTGTTGAGACCATTGTTAAAAAATCTTCTGGAGAAAAAAGTAACAATCGACATCGTTGATACTCAGCGATGAACTTCATTCAAAGTTCAACATGTTTTTATTTTATCAATCGAAAATAGTGCTAGATTTAGTGTATGCACTGCAACCACGCACAAAAGTTAATATTTTTATCTATTCGTTCTGATTTTTTAACACAAGTACTTGGCCAGAATGATTAATGTTGACAGCTACTGAAGCAGGAAGATAGAATGGTTCACCATCCATTTGTGCCGTCATTGGACTGCGCAGTTCTATTCGCAATTGATTACATTGAGTGATCCGATTGCCAGTAAAACCCATATGAATTGTAGCCATATGTGTAGTATTCAAGCCAACAATTTCGAGTTTTTGATCGCCAAAATCTTGTTGTTCGACACAAACAGTTGAGATTGCTGTTGTCGATGAGCTAGCCATTTGATGCATATCATCTTCATTCAAAGTAACAGATTTAATAGCTTCGCGTGTAGCAGCTAATGAACCGAATACATTAACTGCACTTATTACCTTGGCATCGGCAGAATCATTATCTCTTTGAAAGATCGACGATTGATCACCATAGAAGAAAACTGAGTTTGTCGATGAAGATTTTCCCCACGGATTCGTACCGGCTGCATAACCTGGAATGTTAAGTACGACTAATGTATGGCAATCACCTATAGCATTAGTTAGATCACGACCATCGCATATCAAACGAATATAAGAGCCAAGATTCCACATATTTGCTTGAGCAAAATCACTGAAATATTTGCAACTTCTATTTACATACATGAGCTTATTCTTCCATGGTGACGAAAATTTCGATGGATCACGTGTGCGTTTATCATGAAAATCTAGTGTAATGGCTGCGTCTAAACCGAAACTCATGTAATTGATAAAGTGTGTATTTGGTAACTTCTGATGATGTTCATAGGAGACTTGCTTTTTTTCGCGAACAAATTTCGGATGCTTGACTAGCACTTGAAATGGATGACCGATTTGAAATCCTTTCTTTTGCTTTGCTTGTGTCTGTGAAGACAATGTTGTTACGTCGAGTTGTTCAAGCTGAACTTCCCAACGGTCGAGTGCAACTACTTTAGCTTGTGGAATTTGTACGAGCATATCAAAAAGACGTTTTGAATCGTATTGTTCGCCCCAAGCTAATACGCGTGAAAGATCATTACCCGTTCCTAAAGGACAAATGCTTACTGGTGGATTATTTTTCGATGGATAAGCCTCAGCTAGACGGCCAAGAATCCAACCCACGGTTCCATCACCTCCACATACGCAAAAACGGATATTAGGTAGCGACGAGTAGATGTTAAGAGCATGTGTGATTGTAGCATTGTCTTCTAGAAGAAATACTTGACGTGGATTGAGTTTTCGTAATAGTTTCCGATAAATTTTTTCTCCTTGTTGGCCACCAGAACGTTTATTTATGAATACAATAACGGGTGTATACGGAAAAGAGTTTGATTCAAAGTTGCTATTAGTCGCATGCAAAGACAAACGAGCTTTGAAATCAGTTGAAGATTCGCTGGAACGACTGAGCCACTGCGGTCGAACAATAATATTTCTATCGAAGAAAATCAACATATTGATCTCAACGAGTGATTAGAGTTGAAGGAAGACAACGATCAAAGCATTCTAAACAATTTCTCGATGAACTCAAAAAACGGAAAGGATTTTCTTTTGAATATATCTCGAACTCTGCATATTTGTAAGCATGCTTCAATATCCATTGATTCTACGATCAAATCAAACTTAAGTAATAATCATTAATGAACAGTAGTAGAAAAGTGTCAAGATAATGATAAATCTAACAAGAAGTATGACCGAGCATTCTCGTAGGCATTACAAACATGCAAGGTTTCTTTTTATTTGACCTGCATAATCATCATTAAAAACTTACCGAAATATTCCATAGTCACATTGAGTATTTTTATCTTCATCAGCAAGACTTTTCCAACACGGCCGATGATAGCTTCGTAAACACCATAAACAAGCGAGGCCTTCAGAAGATCCAGATACATTTAAACTGCAATTGCTCGATATAGAATTCATAGCCGACGTGGCCTGACCGATGATATCTAAAGCAGACGCTCCCAATAATCGACCACTTCTACTTTTGAATAGGGTTTTTGTCGTTGATATCTGTTGGCAGTACATGCACGGTTTCGGAAGTACGCTCACATGAGACCAAAAATGTTCATCGTATTTCGATGGATTATTTTCGCTCTCGGGAAGTGAATTTCCAAGTGTTGTGTTGTCGACAAAGGACGGACGACAGGGTGGAAGAAAATTGGCTTCGATTACCCGTGAATCTTTCAAGTGATACGAATGTGCAACCAAATCACATGATCCACATTGTACAAATTCAGATTGATAGCTTGGTTTTACACCTATACAAGATACGTGGGCACATAATTGATCCGTCGATGGATCCTTGCATATGAAGGGAAACCAACAGTGAGATGTGGGATGAGCACGTTCGCTCCAATCGACTCCATATGAGATGGAAGCTTTGCTACAGGATCCAGAGAACGTTCCCACTGATTTAGTAGTCAGAAGTGGTTGGGAAACTCTGAAAAACAAAAAACAAGCAACCTGTTGTTCTTTTCTCATAAGGCGCTCCGTAAATACTTTATCTGATTCAAGACGATGAGTGACTGAGATTCGATTGGTTGCTTATCTTCTCTCGGCAAGCATTGATCACAAAGAGGTGATGGTTGACCAGCTACCACATTATGGGTCGATGATGGAAACAAATAAAATTTTACACCATGATCATCATTTATATAGTTTACAGGTAATCTCTGATGGTTGAATGGCGATAAAGATCTATCGATCGGATCAAACAAAATCGTCGGTAAAGAATTCGATCGTTTCACTTTTATATTTTCTACTACTTTTGGACTATCGCTTAAGTCTAATCGATGTAGATCATGTTCAAGTGAGCAAGAAGTTGGTTCTCGATTGTATTGATTAATATTAGTCGACGGATTTTCTTTCATTACAGTATGAAAATCACCCAATTCACTATTGTCATCGATGGGCAAAGTCGAATCGGTTGACGCAGCAGATGGTAATGTAGTCATAATTGATCACAGATATTAAACAGTCTTCTGGAGAAATAGAAACAGATGATATGTCTGTGAAACTTAGACAAAAAATCTAGAATCAAACAAATAGATTCGAAATAAAACATGCTAGAAAAAAAGACCAGCATAATTTGCTTAACTCTTTAGATCATATAACAATGTGTTCAGAATTTAAGAACTAATCGATAATCATGATCAGCTCGACTCTAGTCGATGCATTAGGCATCTTGTTACATGTAAATGAGAATACATCGTATAGTAATCTTTTTATCTGAATATCATAAAAAAAACTGTTTGGTAATTCATATTATGAAATATTTAAAAAAATTGAAACCTGATATAGACTTCAGATTATTCGTCTATGATAGTTCTCTGGTCAATTTCTATAGAAAATATGAGGAACGATTGCAACTATTATATCCAACAGTTGAACAGTACAATATTGGAAGTAAATATAGCTATTGAAAAAGTTAGTTTTTCATTCGAACTAAATCTTCGAGTTCTACAATTTTGAATGTATACGACGTCAAGTGCTATGAAAGATACCTAAATTAATCAACGATTCATAAAGAAAATATTCAAAAAAATCAAAAATCTGACGTCGTGTTCAGATTCTTCACCTATGATAAACCATCAGTAATATATCAATGAAAAATATGAGCTAATGTTTTGACGTTTCGATGCCGTACTGTCACAACTAGGGGTCAACTATTTTCTTTAATGCGACTTAATGTCTTGAGAACGGAATTATTTTTAAGAAAGTAGTGGAAAATTTTGAAACTCTAATAGGATATGTTTATTCATGTCGATACCTAAAACTGTCTAAAAGTATTTTACAGTATGACAATCGTTGAGACAGTAAGTGAGTGTAGGTCTTCTCTTCAATACATCCAGGGTGATGGTGCCGATGTTCTATCGATACGATTATAAGAGAGTGAAGATTTTTTTAAGCAAGCTCTACTTGCTCAGTAGGAAAAAGAACTATTTGGTAAAAATTTCTGAAACGGAGGGTTTTTCAGATGTGTCTAGTTGAATAGTATCAGTATTTAGAAATGATATGACTTGCTTACAAATATTAAATTTGAAAAAGATCTTTTCATTTTATTCAACTAATAATCTTGTTCATAAACAAACACAATTTATAAAATCTTCCATGAGCGTACGACAGGATAAAACAAAAAACGCTGTCCTGTTAAATAGCGTCTGATTGAATGTATTCTTGTAGAGTTCTAATGGCACACCCCTAATCAGAACAAACAAGACTGGTCGAAAATTGAAAATGATTGGTATGATTCTATAGGAATGCGATCCTAACCCGGCCATCGAATTCATTAGTGATTTAGCCGTCTGAATTCTCATCGAATTTTGTCGACTATTCAGATATGATCAGATCTAATCGGACTCGATGTTGCATTCATTCACTTGAGTCGAATTGTTCTCGAAAATATTCGATTGACTATCGAAATACAAAAATCATTATTTTCGCCAAGATCAACTTCAAGTACATCACTTGTTTTATCATTTTTATTTAATTTAATCGAAGTTGCTATCAAAGCTATATGAAAGAAGGAGAGAACAACATCGTTAAAAAAAGTCCATACAATACACAATTTACATATATGACACTCAATAAAATAGATGATGAGTCACTATAATGCAAAGACCAAAATCGAATCAAATCAAATGAAGATGTCTATATCCGCTTCATTCTCTAAAGCACATAATCGATCCGCAAGAAAAATCATAGGAACGGTAGAAAAGAACGAAGTTGAAAAATATTTCATTACAGCTTGATGAAGAACAAAAATATGTGGATCATCTATCATTCAGTAGAAAAAAAAAGTAGCATAATCATCAATTTTTTTAAGTATTTTTTTAATAATCATCTGCAACTCGCAGTATTGAAGGAGCACTTCAGTAACAATTAAGCACGATAAAACGAGAAACATGGATATAAAAGTTGGTCCTTATGAAATATTCATGACAAAAACCACTGAAAACTTTCATAACAAGGCATAAAAGGTTTTCTTAAACAAGTTTGAATTCTTATGTTTCGTGATGAAATCGGCACTGATTAAATTAATACATTAATATTTCATGGCATATATGCAAAAGAAAACAATAGGGTATGGCCAGCTAACTCTGCTACCGGAGTGAAATTCCGTAACGTTTTTCGCTTATTTTGTTTCCTCAATAAATATCAGGCAGTAGCACGTAAAGAGTTGCGAGACGTCTTAAATTAAAGAGAAAAGTCTTGTACATATTCTAAGATATTTTTCGCTTTTGGAACGTTTGTCGTTTCCAAAATATAATTAAAAAACTGATAACTACTTTTCAATTCTGAAAATTATTACTTTTTCAAAAGTGGTGTTCAATTCTTTTGTTATATCTTGGAAACGACAAATGTTCCAAAAGCGAAAAATATCTTAAAATATGTACAAGACTTGTCTCTTTAATTTAAGACGTCTCGCAACTCTTCATGTGCTACTGCCTGATATTTATCGAGAAAACAAAATAAGCGAAAAACGTTACGGAATTTCACTCCGGTAGCAGAGTTAGCTGGCCATACCCAATAGCAGTTTATATACAATAGGCAATTTTAGATGCGGAAAGTTAATAGTATATCACAGATGTATAATTCAATTTAAACACCGTTTACTTGAGTGAATCTTTTAATATTCAGTAATCATATGCGTATATTAAAGCAACATGCGTTGCTTTTAATAAAATACCGAGTGTCAAATGACATCTATCTATTTTTTGTTGTAAATCAGCTTTTAATCATATTTTTTCGACTACTTTCCATTCGGACAGTAATCGCCTGAACAGAATCGAATCAAACTCGAATGGAGATTTTTTTATTCGCTTCAGCCTCTAATACGATGATCAAATTAATACATGCGATAATGAATGATTAGTATAACAAAACTCATTATCTGTCTTTTTAGACTTTTATAGATTTTCTGGAAACTTATTCCAATTCAAATATATGACATATAGAGATATATCTCTTATATTTATGTATCTTCTGTATATAGAAGATGAAAAAACGTACGTAAAATATCAACAAAAATACATAAAAATAATGAAAATAAGTCACTATAGAAGTACACCGGCACAAAACATCTGTGCATTTGTTTTTGTAGATGTTAAATAGTTTGTTTTTAATACAAGAAATTTTTTCATCTACATTGATTGTTTTGCTATTTGAAAATTATTAATCGTAGTATAACTCTATTGTCAAATTTTTATTAAAATATCAATCACCATTTTTTGAATAGTTTTCGATCGTTCATAGCTATTTAGGTTGAGTATTCGTCATTAAATGAAGCAATTTTAGAGATGCCTATTTGTCTAACATTCATCTATTTCAAAGAAATTCTTCATAAATATTTTCAAAATGGATATGTTTTTCGTTGCCGATTTATACAAGTTTTCGTAGAAAATTTAGGCTCAAATCAAGCCAAAATATAGCACGAAGAGTGTTCTATTACTTATATACAATTGTTCGATTTTTTTATCCTTATTCTGGATTGATGTTTTAAGGGAAGCTTTCTGAAATCTGGGAATTTTATGGGAAAACATGACTCTCTTACCTACACATATGCATGAAGAACATATTAGAATCTAATGAATATTACACAGTTTGATGTCCTCAAAATTGATCTATCTAGTGATGAAAATTCGATTCTAATAGTTGTATATAATCGAAAGTTATTCAAAAATAAATGTGGTTAGCATTTTAATTAAAAAAATCTAACAATAGTGTGAACAATACTTCGATGAATTCTTTTGTTTACAGTTCTTCTGAGATAGACACAATCGTCTATTCACGATACAAAGTAATTATTTTGTTACTTTATATAAATAAAATATAAATGTAATCGTCTGAACAAAATATTTAATAGTTTTTGTCAGATCGAAAAAATCAAATAGTAACATTCATTAAATGCTTATGCTTAACATAAGCTTGATTATATGTATTTTTATTTAGTAAAACTTCAATTAGAGCATCAGTACATTATTCAAACAAAATAACCTAAAATAGTATCACAATCAATCATTTAAAAATAATTCATTTCAAAGTTTCATTCTCAAATACACTGTTGTTGTTTTTTTTCAACATCCTGTAGCAACAATACACTGACGAAAGAAGGTTTATAGGTGTAAGTCACCGTTGCCATTTGGCTTTATACCAGTTTGTAGAGTTCTCTGATCTAATCACAATAACATTGTACATTCTTCTCCATAGAATATCTTTTGAGGAGTTACTTTGATCTCAACTTCTGAAAAATGACTGTAAGCTATTATTTCGTAAATTGTAGCTCTTATGCTAGTTTAGTTCTCAGCATCAAAAACATTAACATTAAATACCCCTTCATTATCTATCCACATCAACATAAACATAAATTATTTAATTCCATAAAATCACCGTATTAATAATATTAAAAAGTACAGAACTCATTGGGACTTCTATTTATGTTGACTATGCGTATATGTATACAGTCAATTAAGATGTATCGATGAAGTTTGAGATCCATTTAACTTCTTAAAGATAGTCTATGGAGAACAATACACTTGACGTTATCGTGATCAGTTCATAGAATTCTATAAACTGGTAGAAAGCCGATGGATAATAGAGACTTGCACTTAGAGATCTTCCTTTACTACATAGACTATATACATACAAATACAATAATTTCTAAAACAGAATGTCTCATTTATGTATAATCACCGGTTATTTAACTAGTAAAAAAAAATACCGAACTTAATGCGTGTAGTCACGTTTATGTTGAGGATTTTGTCGATAACAAGATTTACCATAAGGACATATCGGTTTATCAATATCATTATCATCTTTACTATCATTATTCGTTTGTTTTTCATCCTCATAATCAGAATCACCTGGATGCGATTGTTCAGTACGATGCGTTGGATTTTTTCGATAACATGATGCACCATATGAACAAACTGGACGACGTTTATCATTTGATTTAACTAAATTCAAACTGTAGTCAATAATCAATAATAAATATTTATGAATACTTTTTTTTGTAGTAACAGAATCAAATCCATCACTACTATCACTATCAAAGCTTTTTATTACGGATGATTTACTTGACTTTGTAACTGATGCGTCTAAAAAAACAAATAAAGAACAAAAAGGAAAAATAGATAAACAAGATATAATAGAATTTACCAGACGTATTTGATAAATCATTTGTATTACTTTTGTTATCTTCTTCTGAATTCACTGTTGAGAATTTATTTGAGATAGACTCATTATAATAAATATGTACTTACATTGCCGTTTAACAGCAGGACGATCACTAGATGATGAATCATGTAGACAGGAAGAATTGGATGTAGTCTTTGTTGATGCTATCATCCATGTTGGTAATATACGTGATTTATTATTTGAATCAACTGATTCATATTCATTCTATAAACTACATTCATAAAGTACAACATATTAATATCATAAAAATATACTTGATTTTTTATAGAAGAAGAAGTAGAATCATCAATATCTGAAATGTATGGTTTTGGTTCAACATCAGGACTTTTTATTTTAGATAAAGTATCTTGAGATGATATTTTAGTTGATTTTAGATTATCAGACGCAATATTATTTACTGAATAATGTGACTGTTGATTTGATGATGTAGATAAATCGTCTTTATTATTATTTGTATTCATAGAAAAACTAATACGAAAGAAAAAACTTGTTGGTAATAAACCAATTTGATCACCATCTTTTAATTCTTGTTCAATATCTTTAGTCAAATGAATTGTTTTACCATGAAAAGTGCGATAAAATACTGGATTAGTATGAATTGGTTTAATCCAAAGTGTTTCATCATTTTTAAGTAATAATTCAGCATGTTGACGAGAAATTTTTTTATCATTACACTATTTAAAAAAAAAATTCAAAAAATTTGTAAACAATAAAAAATCAATTATCTTTTTGTAACATACACCTAATGATGATCCACGTCCAATAATAACTTTTTCATTTTTTTTTACTGTTATACGATTACCTTCAGAAATTGGTATTAGTTCTACGTTATAACTCATCTTATTAATGTAATTTCAATATTGTATTGAAACAATAACATTTACTCATCACATACACCTACATAAAACACATAGGTTTTTAGTTCTCATCAATAGAAATTTTCAACAGAGGGAGCATGCTATCAAAATGCAAAAAAAAGAAAACGAAAACTATTGTAAAATTTATTGATTCAGCTATTTTCAAAAAAAGAAAAAGAAAAAAAAACAGAAGCTATTCATTACAATAGAATTAAATCGCAATAAATATTTTTTTACGATACATAATACCAGCAATGATTGTCCAAAAGAAAACTCCAAAAAGATGCATAGCAAGTAATTGTGCATGTGTTGTTTCTTCGACTTGAAATTGTATAGGAAATGTTTTTGAACAAACTTCATGACCAACATAAATAACAATTGAATTCATACCTAACCATAAAAATGGTTCACCAGTAAACCATTTATAAACATCAATAAGTAAATAAAGTATTGTTAAAATAATAAAAGCTAAACCAGCTAAAACAAGTATAAAACTAAGTGACCAAAGATTTTTATTAATTGGTATCCAACCATCTGAATAACCACCTTTAGATAATAATAAACCAATAGATCCACAAATAAAACCAGATATAAGCCAATGTGCACAAACACGACGTATACGTGTTGAATGAGCAAAACTATGACCAGCTTGAACACCAAGATAACAAAGTAAAGTTCCAGTTAAAATACCCAAAAGACCTAATAATAAAAAATAAAAAATAATAATTTTTGATATCTTTTAGTTTTGTTCTTACCTTCAGGATCATATGGTATTTGAGTATCATAAATATCTTTACATGTTGGATGATTATCCATATGAGAATTTCGAAGAATTAATCGATCAAGATATCCAGCAACTCCTAAAAAAAATAAAATGATTTAATTAATCAATAAAATTATTTTGTTTTTGTTCAATAACCTCCAGTACAATTTTGATATTTTCCATGTTCATGTTTTCCACCGGGACCTAAATAACCTCTTGGACAATTTTCAAATTTAGGAATAAATGTAATCAATATCCAAAGAAGAGTTATTAATAATATAAAAATCCATTGTGGCCAAAAATGAAAGAAAGTATTTGATAATTCTGTGCATACTTGTTGACGAACATCATTACCTTAATTAACAAATATTTAAATTTAATTCTTTTTTTTTTAAGTTAAATTTTTACGTATTGGCCATTGTGATGAATATGGTTCATCTTCTGCATCATCAAAAATTAAAACAAGTATAGCAGCAAAAAAATAACATAATGCTAAACGTTGAAGAACACCAAAAATTCGAATATATACCCATCGTGAATAACCACCTTGTAATATTAAACCTAAAATTTTACAATAAAATGAAATAAAAACAAAAATTTTCTTTGTTTTTTTTGCTTATCTTACCTAAAATAAAAAGTATGAGAGTTCGTCGACATATTTTTAAAAAAATTATTCTTTTTCGTACACTTTTTGCACGCATAGAACAATGTGAAAAAACAATTGATACACCCATTATCCAAGTAAACCATGGAAAAACTAAATCAGCAACAGTTAAACCATTCCATACTACATATAACAATAGAAATCTTTCATATGTTGAAAACAAATAAACTTACTTGAATGTTTAAAAAACCAATAACCACCACCTTTAATAAATAAGTAATAAATATATTAATAAATGAAATTATTCTTTAAATCATACCTCCATAATTAACAAATATCATTACCATCAATGAAAATCCTCGAAAAGTATCCAATGAACGAAGTCGTTTTGGTAAAAGTTTTGTTATACGTATTGTATTATTTGATAATCGTGTTGATCCAACTAATGGTAATTCACTACTAGTTGAAAGTGTACGAATAATATCATCATTAGGATCATTAGTAATTGTTGTTGGATTATTTGGTAATGAAACAATTAAATCATTATTTATTAATCCTTGTTGAATAACATTTGGAAGAAAACGAGTAACAAGTCGACTACGTGATATCGGATGGCATAATTGAATCAATAAAATAAATGTTAAAAGAATTGACATTCCAATAATTATAGGTAACCAATAATAACTTGATTCTTTTGTTTGTTTTATTGAACAAATATCTTGATTTTGTGCTATTTCAATAATTTCAAATAAATATGATCCATGTTCGAAAAATTTATGTGATTTTATTGAACATTGTAATGTTTTATTGGTAGATTTAGTAAAAATTTGAAAATCATGAGCATATTTTGTATTAATTATAACTGTTTCACTTGAATTATATGGAATAACATCACCTAAGAATTCAAAATTACATTTTTCACATACGACTAAATTATACATAAATATAATAGACTCTGAATAATTTTTATTGCTAATTGTTAAATAAGCTTCATCCATACTCAATGGATCTAATGAATCATCATTGATGGATTGAGTTTGACCGTATTGAAGAAATTTTTGTATTGTAATAAGAAAAATCCATAGACAATAATATGATTTTTTCATTATTTATTTAATCAAATTATTCAGCACTTTTTACCTTTCTAACTTGATCATGTGACACAAAAAAACTATAACAAAAAGTTGTTGCACACTCATGTCAAAGTCAACAATCCACGTCCATTACATAAGATCCTTATCATTTTTTCACCTAAAAAAAAGTACTGACATATCTTTCCATCGAGTTTCACTTGTTGTTTTAAACAACAATTGACGAGTCAGAATAAGATGTTACTGACACTTCATCAACAAAAGGAATTATTCTTGATGAATATCAAAATTGATTACTTTTTGTTTAGCTTCTTTTTCTTTCATATAAAACAAGATGGACAAAAGTTTCTTCATGTACAAAAAAAAACAAGAAAGCAGCGTAAAACATCTTTTCTGTTATTTCACAATGGTATCCTTAAGTAAGGGTTATAAAAACAAAACCATGAGTGTTTCAAAAAAAATTTCTGAGCATAGATTGTTCCGTAGATGGAACGAACAACGATGTAATGAAGACATTAACTTTGTATTTTTTGAGATCTTTCTTATTCAAATTTTGGCATAAACATATACCTATATTAACTAATCAATATACTTCTTCCTTTGATCATTGGAAGACTAAATACATCAGATCTAAGATGATTAAATATGAGTCTAATCGATTTTAGAATTTCTTTTTCTTTCGAGTCTCAGAAAAGTAAGTCGAAAATAAATATGTTACTCATTTGGTATTGTTTAGACAAGCTGTCTAGCATCATATTGATTAATATTTTATTATTTTTGTTTATTTACTTGTCAATATCGAATTTCATTCGTTTAAGATCATTCTTGAAGGATAATGTCGATTGTCTTATATTTCATTTTTTTACAACATATCATTGAAATATTTGAGTGACTTTTGATTAGACAAAAAATATACTCACATAATATATTAACAATGAACTAGTGAACTTTTTTCTTTTATCGAATTAGATTTTACAAATAAAGAATAAACATTGATTCTGTTTAAATTTATGAAAAAATAAATGGGGATAAATTGATAGCATGATTTTATTATAAATATTATCTATTAAAAGATTCACATCAGAATGGATTGATCATTGATGTATACTATAGCTTCATCAATGCCTAGAGGTATTTTAAATTACAAACGAACTTACTTTTGTTGAATTCTATATAAATGAAATTGGATTGCTTAGTTTTCATATATATTCATCGGAAAGATGATATTTCAATTGCGAAGAAAAACAAATTCAAGGTTTCAACATTAAAAATCCTTTAATTTTCGTCATATCTATTTATATGAATGTGTTAACGATTATCTATAAATGACCTTCAGGTACAAATGGCAATATTCGACCCCCTTCCCTTCCTCCGGGATGCTAGGTATAAAAAAAAAAGTTTGAGAAAAAGTCTGCTTGCTCAGCTATATTGCTTATTTTTTTTAAATTAAACTTTAGTTCATTCAATAAGTGAATCAAAGATAGAACTGAAAAAACACATGTCATAAACAACAAATAAAACTTATCTTGAAAATATTCCAATATCGAATTCATATTCAGTTGATTTATTTAGTTGATTTCCTATTTAAATATGAACTGTAAAACAAACTAACTTTGAAAATTTAGCTGAATGTTGTGTAAGAGAAAAAGAATATATTCATAGTAATTGTCTAGACATTTTCTATGGATGGATCCGTATCGAAAGAAAAAAAATGAATATTCCACTGAAATATCATTTTACTATCTTTCATTGGATCATATTTCCTCTTTTTTTTTGTTGTTTTGATTATATTTCAATTTATTCTTATACGTTCCGTTCTCTGTCTATAGTCGCATGCTGTGTATATAAGGACTGAAGTTTTTCTTTAATTTCTTATTTGTATTCAGTATCTTCTTGCTGTGAATCGCATCATGTCAACAAAAACATCAGGTGATATTAAACTTCGACTTTATTACTGGAATTGTCGTGGTCGTATTCAAAGTGTTCGTTATATGCTTGAAGATATAGCATATGCACATAAAAATATTGATTACAAAGAAGATTTTGAATTACTTGCGACAAGTGCTGAATTATGGCCTACACACAAGGCTGATGAAACAATATCCGGACCATTCCATAATTTACCTGTACTTCATTGGAATGATACACATACTTTTGGTCAAACTTTAACATTAGGTTTGTTCAATTAATAAAAACTAAACTTCATTAATTTTTTATTTTCATAGGACAACTATTAGCACGAAAATTTGATTTATATGGTAAATTAACACCATCCATTGATAATGAAGACTTTTTACATGGCTATATTGATGGTGTTGTTTCATGTGCATATACTGATATTATATCGAATGTTATAACTTGTATATTCAGCAATTTGAATTTTACTGATAAAAATAATCCATCGTATCGTTTATTGAGAATGATTTCAAACAATTTAAAAGCCTTAAATAATTTACTTAAAAAAAGTTCAACATCACTTTATTATGATCAACAAGAACCAACAATTGCTGATTATTTTGTTTTTGAAGCATTTACATTAGCTCGTGATTATCATGAAATTGTATTGCCAAATGAAGAAGATCGTCAAGCATTAATAAAACACGAACAAATCATGAAAGAACGACCAGCGTTAGCTAATTATTTTAGTAAAGGTTTATTATTTAAACGTATTACTGGATCATCAAAAGAAAGCGAATATATGGCAACACTTGCTGAAACAAAAAAATAACTTTATTCTTTGGTTTTTCGAACCTTTTTAAAAATAGATTAATATTCATAATGAAATAGCTAGAATTTCATTTACTTAAATTAAATAAATCATACATAATCTTACTAGAGTTATAATTAAGAAAAATTGTAATCGAATTATTGCGATATATCGTCTTAATCCTTCCTTCAACTTATAGAAATCATTTCATGGTTTTTTTTTGTTAAACCGACAGCAAAAATAAAAAGAAAGAAAAGTATACATTGATGGCATCTTGAATTTGGTTATGTATTTATTATTGCATGTGAAACCAAATAGAAATACAATAATATCAATGGATTCTTCAGATTGATTTTAACTCAAAATTTATACGATTAGGTATTTAAAATTAGTCATGATTCGCGAATAGAGAGATTGTGGGACCAAGTTTTTTTGATCTCGGTCTCATTAAATTTTCTTTCTTGTGATCCTTCTACATCTTTACTCATGAATATAGAAATAATTCACTAGTTTATGTATAGGGAAGCAAAAAAAATGTTTTGTTACACGTCGTTTCCTTCGTCAAGCAATGTGTACATATATAAACATCTTTTTGATTTTAACTTAAACCATGTGTACAACAACAACTGCAAATATTTTTGTTATATACCTGAAGATATTTCATATAAATATAAAAATATTGATTATAAATAAGATTTAGAACTTGTTGACATAATGATGAATACAAGTCACAGCACAAAATTAATCAGATGGTATCCGATCCATATCGAATATTACCAATTCTTCAATAGAATGATGCACATTCTTTTCGACAAACTTTAATAATTGATAAGTAGTTTTAAACAAAAAGCTTATGCTTATTGGCTGTGTCGTTAATCCCACATCATAACAAAAGAAAATTGATTTTAATAGAAAAATCCCTTCATCAAACAATACCTGTGCAATATAAATATTTGAACTGGCTCTAATATCGAAGATAAAAATAGTATGATTCTATTGGGACAGTTCAAAATGGTATTGAATCATTAAATATATCAATGAAACAAAGTTCAACATCGTTTTTCCAATAAGCAAATACAATCAACAATTGTTGATTATTTTACTTTTGAAGCATATTCAATAGAACCTTATGTACATTCAAAAGTGTTACCAAACAATTGTGAAGTATTTGTAAAACTTGAAAAATTCTGAAAGAATGACCTGCATTAGTTAATCATTTTAAGAATGTTTAATAATTGAAATATTTTACTGTAACTCCACATGAAGATGAATATTTCCAAAGGAAATTCCTTAAAATAAAATGAAAATGTAGAAAAAATGTTTTTTTTCTGGAAGGTAATGCTGTGATTTCAAATAAAATCAACATCAAATTTTACACGAAATATAACCACGTTGAAAATGAGATTGATCGATACTAAATGACAATGGTTATGGCAACGTTTCAGTGTCGAATGCAGAAAATTCCGAAAATTGTAGACCATATCAACAGAGAAAAATTCCTTTCTTGTAATAGTTCAAACTAGATGTTATTTACAATGATGTACTTAGTTCAGAGAATAATATTTATTTTTTTTAAGATTTGATGAATATAATCAATAATTAACATGACGAACATTAGCATTTTTACATCATGATGTTGAGACGAATATGCCTTTAAAATTATTTCAAATAGTTCAATGTTTATTAAAAGAGATGTAGCGAAATCAAAAAATCGCATGGTAGGATAGGATAAGACTAGAAATATTCTTCACCATAGAGTATAGGATACGGAAAGGCTTTACTTTATCATATATGTCAAACTTGAAACTTGAATTCAAGTATTCAACTATTCATATTTTAACTTCTCAAGTGTTCTGCGGATATTCAATGGGGAAATCTTTTGATTCAGCGTCGCAGCGTAGGGGCGCTTCGCGCTTCCCAAAGAGCCACGACCCATGCACATCTCTGTGTGCACCATTATTCCTACTCACTGCTGTACTGTAGCTTAAGATTCTCACATACTTCTTGCAGCATCTCGAATAATGTATGAAGCATCCTAGGTGATGCTTGCAACATCCTACGTCACACTGACAGCATTTTAGAGAACCCTGTGGCGTGCGCGCCAGGTGATGCTAGTAGCATTCCAGACAGTACCTGTCGATGTTAGGTGATTCTGGTGATATTGCAGGCGTTGACTAATTGAAAAATTGAATACTTGAGTTCAACTTTCAAGTTTAACACTACTGTATAATTTGTACGCATGATTGATCTATACGAAACTTTTGATGTGGAGAGCAGCATTCGATACGAAGAGATCACTCATACAAATGACAGTATTCTTCAAGCTGTGCGATGCTAATCGTGATGGTCTTCCTAGCCAAACTGAAGTCGTCAATGTTGTAGAATTCGTCTTGTTACTATGTGCTGATAATTACAAAAGTGAAGACGAGAAAATGAAAAACTTCATAGTTGCACTCAACAGCAGTATCAACAAGTCATTTGCTGGTAAAGAAAAAATATCTGAAAAAAAGTTTCGTGAAATGTGTGCCGAAAATGAGCAACTTAAATACGTCATGGAATTCTAAACCCATATTTATTAATAAGTTTGGCAATGGCAGATTGTCTCAACCAGTAAAAGCATCACCAATGCACTCGTCTCACACTGACTTATTTGTGTAACAATATTTTACCTTGACATGTGTTGATTTCAATTTTTCTATTGTATTGTATGCACGTATCTCGGATTAAATAATTGACATACCTTTGAATATTTACTACGATAGTAAGTGAAAAATAAGATTCAATGCCACCCAAATTCTAAATCAATCAATGATATCATGCAGAAATGCATTCAGGATCGACTATAGGCGTTTTGTATTGTAAGAATTCGAACGGGAGGTTATTTCATCACATATCATTCGCAGTGATTGACCGTGGTTGTCAGATGAATCATCATGCTGAACCATATAGCAGTACATGAATTATTTATTGATTTCTTTCTTTAAGACACGTAACTTCAAAAATACTCTTTTTCAGACATATCGCCACTCTTTTTTATGAACGAGTCTACAATCGAATAATTTAATTATCTTTCACAATTAGTCATCATTAAAAATAATGACATATAAATTGGTTTTGAGAAAGATGAATGATAGCTTTTTTAGCTCCTCATAAGAAAGTATAAGAAACGTTTCGATTCGATTGTACGAAGAATTGTGTAATTTGAATTTGACGAGGGCTACTTGATTGCATCAACTTATATTGCCATTAAGAATCGGACGAAAGTTCGCTTCTAACAATGCCATATGCGATAAAGAACTGCCAACCTTGATGTCGCTCGTTTTCAACAAATTTATATAAATTTTACGATTATACATGACATCTATAGATCTTGTCTTGTACGTCGGTAAATAAATACTGAATCACAGTCTGACCCCGTATGGCAATCAGTTGTCAACGTCATACAAAAGTCAACGGCGCAAGAAAAATGTCTGCCACAATCATTCATGAATCATCTTTTATCATTCAACGATTTCTCGATCAATATCGTACGACTATTCTCATCGCTAGTAGTACTGGTATTCTACTACACACCAACATTCTTCAATTATTTTCATCGTTCTGTTTTTGTACGTAGTGACGGCAACATGGCTGTTTAATAAACTATGGATCAGTCGTCGATCTTATCCGAGTCAACAATCTATACAAGGCAAAACTGTACTAATCACAGGAGGAAATACTGGTGTTGGCTATGACACAGTAAAAGATCTGCTTCAACGAGGTTCGATTCAGCGGTAGTGTCATTTTCCTATTAATGTAAAATAAATTCAAATTTAAACATACAAGGTAGCCAAAAAAATAACCTAACATAGAGTTCTTGTCGGCTTTTTTTTCTTTATAGATCTATAGTTTGATCTCATATTTGAATCATAGATACTAGATGAGAATAATCAGAAAAAGAACCTATTCTCAGCGCTTGATTATAAGAATTTGTCAGAAAATATCCAACTATCTTCCGTACATTCTTATATGATTATCACATAAGTTTCTAGTTTTCTAGTAGAGTTGTGCTTCTATCTTTTGGTCTGTTTGAATTCTATTGATCTTTATGTTGTTTCAGACTCGTGACATAGAAAACTCTTCAAAAACAAGATATAATGAAAAAAGACATTTACTTCGATTAGACACTATCGAATTTATGTGACAGTCATATAAGAGTATACGAAAGATATTCGGATATTTTCGAACGAATTCTTGCAATTGAAATCTGATAATAGGTTCTTTCTCTCTTTATTGTCATCTAGTATATGTGGTCCAAATATCAAATTGACCTATAGATCTATACAGAAAAGAAAGTCGAAAAGAAGTCTCTATCAGGCTACTTTTGAGTCACACAGTAGAATAGTATCTCTTTTCATTATAAGAAGAGGAAAAATTAATAAAATAAACTTACTAAAGAAAGTACAGAGTATTTAAGGCGTGGTCAACCATAAGATATTTCGTTTCGCTTTCTTTCTATTAAAATTTAAAAAGTCTAGCCATATTCCGGCCAAATTATCATCTCTATCGCTAAACTACTACATTTAAAACATTAGCTGCTGATGGCTGTCTTGTATGCAATTATTGAGTCCTAAAAATCGTGTTCTATCGTTCGTTAAGGGGCTAAATAATTTCATATCAGACAGTCATCCGTAGTTAATATTTTAAATTTAGTAGATAAGCGATGACGGTGATAATTTGACCTGAATATGATTGGACTTTTTACATGATAATAGAAAATAAAGCAAAGCGGGGTACTATATGGTTAGCCAGGCCCATGTAAAGATGTTTTTTTCTTTCCTCTTTCTCTTGCTTCCTCGTGTATCATTTAACCGATATCAATGAAGGACGCAAGTGGAAAGATCTTTGCATTAAACAGTTTTATGGATTTGTTCTGTGTACTATAGTTATACCTTCGACCTATAATTCTTTCGTACCTTTAGAATGCTTCTTTTTTCGTTATAATATTCTCTAGTTCAATGACCCTAGGAATAATTTTTGAAAGCGATTTTTCGATCAAAAACTGTATAATTATAGTTTTAGAATGCTTATATTATTGTAAAAAATTGTTGAATTAATATGTATAGTTAAAAATACCATCCGATATTACAAATATAGGACGATCGTATACCATAGGCGTTTAACTTCATAAATGGAGAATCAAGGAATACTTTTCCAAAACTTCCTATTTTGTTTCAGTCTCCGTATACGGAAATTGTTAATTGACGCTATGTTTGCATGCGCTCATCATGCACGAAAACCGTGGAGAATCTCTGTCTATCATCGTAGACTCATTTACGAGCGTGCTTGTTCGCCTTCAGAGCAATATTTCTTACGTAGAATATCAGAAAGGCATTGAATGATCTAATCTAATTTTTTATGTGATAAATTATGAAGTGCAAACAAGCTTAATTTAACATAATTTGCTCGTAAATTAAATAGAACACTAACTTAAATTCACACTCCCACAATTCAGCCACATCATAGTCTTCCAATATGAATGAATCGATATTTAGGAGCTCGAGTTATTATTGCTTGTCGAAATCTGCATAAAGGACGTCTAGCAATGGAGAAGCTTCTCGTGGAAACCAGTGCTAATACAAACAATATTCGATTGATGGAATGTGATCTTTGTTCATTGGAATCGGTTCGAACTTTTGCCAAACTATACAATGAAGAGGAAGAAAGATTGGATATCTTGATTTGTAATGCTCGTCTTAGTTGGTCATCGCCTATTATGACTAAAGATGGTTTCAATGCAGTGATTCAAGCCAATTATCTTGGCCATTTTCTTCTTACAAACCTTCTATTAGATAAATTGAAAAAATGTCGACCAAGTCGTATAATCAATGTATCATCTGAACTGCATGACAGTAATAAACTGATGAATAAGAAATACGAGATCTTTCTTTTTTGAAATTAAAATTAGGTATAGAATCAATTAATTGGTCAGATATTTTTACTCAGTTTCGAAATCCTCATTGGCATGGTGCTTATCCATCATCGAAGCTATTCCAAATTCTATCGACAGTCAAACTGAAACAGGATTTATTCGGTATTATGTCAATGGGATAATTATCATTTGTTTCGAAGGTATTTTCATTTAAGCGGAACATATCGATGTCTTTGCGTTGACTCCCGGCTGGTTATCAACTTCACACAGTAGATCATCAGCACACGTCATTAGTTGGTTAGCATTCAATCTGTCTTATCCATTCGTGCGTTATTTGAAATTCGTATTTGCTAAAACGACTGAAATCGGTGCACATACAGTTGTTTATTGTGCTGTTGAACCGACACTGGAAAAATCAAATGGTTTATATTTTCAGTAAGTCGCATGTCTGGAAACAGAAAAAAATAGATTATATGTGTGTGTATATTTTTTTTTAGAAATTGTGCTATTGCACAGCCATCGCCATTGGCAACTGATCAAACATCGGTCGAACGACTCTGGAAAATGAGTCTTGAAGCAGTTGTACTTTGATGGTTAGAAAAGAAAGTTTTCATGATTTGCTACTAGCTAACTCGTACTGATTAAAATTGCTTTTCGCATGAAAATATTATGAATTTATCAACCTTAATGAGTGGCAGTATAATCTATTTTATTGTGAGTTTATAATTTGCTCTTGCTGAATTACACAGAATGATATACTTAGTTAATTAAAACTTCAACTTTTTATTTTTCAAGAAAATTTCTCGAATTGAAGAAGTCTAAAAATTCTTTTCGTGGAATTGTAACAAAAAATACATTATTTGATGCCGAAACTGATTCGAATGACCAATAATTTGGTGATTTTTGACTTTTTATCATGATCCAAACGACGCTTCTTGCGAAAAGGATGAAACTGTGTAACGGATACTATTTTTAGTTCGTTGTTCGACGCAGCTAGCTTGTTTAGACATGATACTAGGAAAACATGTTTCATGCATTCACTATTACTCGACTCCCTCGTGTACAATTTTTTTTCATACTCTAATATTTGAAAGACTTGGCAGTCTGTACATTTAAATTGATTTTTGGTATCTATAAAGCTCATCGATTGATTAGCCACTATGTAGTTGTAAGTCTTTAATTGATAATATTGCTGCATTACATATTAATTTACCTGGATCTTGAGAAGCAAACTATTATAGTCGGTGATGAATCATTACCAGAGAACCAGTATTTATTTGCTTTGAAGCATTAGTTGAGAAAAGTTCAATGTCATAGAGTGACCACTTATTTTAGTACGTGATGACAAGCAATTGATGACTCAAATGGGTCAATTTATATCAGAGTTGGTGCATCTTTTAAACCAGAGAGTGTAGCTTTATTGATTCGATCGAAAAATCTCTAACAGATTTGGCATCGATATATATATAGTGTCTTGCTTAGTTTTGCAAGGCGATTATTTTTAAGAAGAAAGTTCGAACAAAAGAAAAATTGCTAGCGAAATAGAATAAGGCACATTTTATTTCTATGGCGTATTTTAAAATGGCTATGGGAACTGTATTACTAATCCCAGCTAAATACTACATCTATAACAAAAGAAAGACCACTAACTCCAATGATATACAAAGAAAAAGCTTTTTTTTTAAATCTTAATATGACAAGACTGTTTTCTTCAGTGAATTGTAAGTAATCATCAGCGCTTGAATGTTTCTTTAAAATATTATTCATATTCAAAGGTGATTGTTTTGTTTTTAGCCCAAATAAAAAACCAGAACTTCCAATTTTTACATTGCCAAACTGCAATGTTTGAGCGATCAGTGCCGAAAATAATCATGTCCCGATCATTTTAGGTTTGAAAGTCGTTACACTTGTAGTCGAGGCTTCAAATTCCAGGAATGAAATCGATGCGGTTTCGTTTGTTTTCGGCGCATATCGCCTTAACACGAAAAATAATGACGTTCAGAAGCCAGAAAATATAAGAAAATTTCAATTGTAACGGACGGTTGCTGTACATTGAGTTGAACCTGTTTTGATGGTGGCTTACTCAAGTTAAATGACATTGTTAAGAGTCCTTTTTTAAACATTCTAGCATCAACACAGATGAAATTCGCTTGAAACCATACCAGACTTTTGTTAACTAATTTCTAACAAGCTGGACTTGTTTGAAAATCGCATCACCATCTTAACACCAATTATTTAACATCTTGAATCTTCAAAATCATTGTCATCTGTTGCTTAATGTGATCAACAAACCTATCTTTATTCTTCATAACTAGAATGACTATCACTTGCCTTTTAGAAAAGTAGATATCGTTGTCGACTAGTCGATGCACACATATCAGCTTTTCATAGCTCCAGTTGAGCTCGAGGTGTTTCAGTCAGTTGATCAATGGGGAGTCCTCAAAGTTTTTGAACTTTCGCCTTGATCACATAGACGAAGGGATCGATCTGAGCTCACATTGCACAGACCTGTTCTATGAAGTGTCGTATGCAGACACTTGTTACGAGAATAACACAGAAGTGAAGCTGTTCAAGTGCAACGTTCAGCTGTTATCGTTGTACAATTTCGACCATTTTGTTAATCACGTTTTTATGAACTGATAACTCAGATTCAACGTATACCTTTTTATAATACTATAAACCACGTGTTATGAAAGGTAGTAACAAACGAGAAAAGCATGCAGTGACCATATTTAGAGAGTGTAGCTGTGGTATTCTCTCCATCCACATCCATCCACTGATCAAGATCCACTTGCACACACATCCATCTCTGACAGTCAGGCTACAAAATCGATTTCCGACATTTGAGTCTATACCCGAGCCAGCATTGAAGTTGCTATAGTGCTGTCGTTGCAATCTCATGGGCTCCATACTTACCAAGCCCAGCATTATTTGATTTCTTTTATGGAGACATATTAGTAGAGTAACTAGGTCTAGAATATCAAAAATTGACTATATTCAATGTATTGGACAAGCTTTACAATCACAGAACATAATTCAAATCATCTGATATCAGTCTAATAGATGAACAAAAGGTGGTCTCAACATTTTCTCGATATCTGCATCAGTTTTCATAGTTTTGAACTGAATGTTTTCCTCGAGATCCTCGACAAGAAAATATTATAATATTGCATTTAGTTTCTCATAATTTTTTCTTCAATTTTGTTAGTATTTATGATATAGAAACTATTAATTTACTATTTAATAGCAGCGATGTGCTTCATCTTTCGGCTATAATTAAATGTTCTTTATCGAATGATGTGGCAAAAGAAATCATGTAATGCTGATTTTGGGAAATCTATCTCATTGGGCGGCATTCAAAGAGGTATATATAAATCATTGAACAAATACTCTTTAAAGCGCATTGCTTTTATGCTTTCAAGAGAATGAATGATGGATGATTGCTGAGAGAAACTTCGAATCTTGACTTTATTGGCTTATTGCAGTAGAAAAAAAGAAATAAGACAATATCGACCAGAGTTGCTAGCCTGCCAGGCCGCAGGCCAGGCTGAATTTTGAAATTTTGGCCTGGGTGTGATGTAATACTCAATTTTTCAGTAGTCAACTTTAAACATAAATTGACATCGCAGTTCAAGAATGTTGACTTTCGGCATTTGCTCTTCAGTATTTTCACAAATCAACGTTTTTATGCATTCGATAACTTTTCTTTTTCATCCTTTTTATTTTTATCTCTTACTCTTTTGAGGTCAGGTCTCGTTTGTTTTCCTGTTCAAAACTTTTACTTTCGATATTTAGTAGCTGCCATTCGTTTACAATCTGATTCTGCCAAAAATATTTACAATACTCTTCATTGTTTTAATTAACCTTTCTGGAAGAGTTTGTTTCTTAATTACAGAGTTCCTTGGCTCCAAGAAGTCCTCTAAATGAGAATAATATTTCCTATTTTGCTGAATGAAAATGAGGAAAAGGTCGTTGCAGTTCGTGTCCCACAGCGTTACGTATAACAGCAACCATTGTGAGACATAAGACAAATATAAACTTTTAGATATATTTCGAGAAATTGTCAGTATCAAATATTTGGGATTGAAGGCGTCATAGAACTCAACACTCATGAAAAACAACACTTTGCATATATACCAATACTCTGATTCAAAGAACAAAAGCAATAATGAACGATGTCTAAAGATAAATTTTAGGATTTCAATATCTACTTGACAGGTTAAAGGCTGCAGTGTTTCTGCACAGTTCAAATCACTTTTCAGTTTCAAATATTTTTGAAAAGTCGGTGTCGATTTTATTCTCGGTTTCAGTTTTGTAAGAACTATCGACGTGTATTTCATTACTTTCATGAAAATGAATTGAATAGTTAATTGAAACTAACATCGTAGATTGAAGCAACATTGTAAAAGTAATAAATTTGAAAAAATCAGAAACATTAGTCAACCTGGTTTCGCCTGATCTGGTCTGCAGGCAGGCTTATCAAATCAGGCGGCAGGCCAGGCCAGACTGAAACAAAGTCGCCTGTTGGCAACTCTGATATCGACTGATTTCGACTAACTTTAGAGAAATTGATATCTTTCAAGGCTATATATGATCGAGAAATATATTCGAAAATTTGTTCAGACATCTTTCTATTTTTTCGCATTACCCAAAAATCGGAAGTCTTATATAATTCTATATTTTCAAGGTTTTCATTTCTTTCAAAATATCGTACGGATTTTTCTATTGGTATATTGCAAAAAAAATAGTTTCATATAACCTTGTAGAAAATTGAATAAAAAATTAATTCAATAAAACCTTAAAAAGAGAAGAAGAGTGTAGTTCTTTTCGAACCACTTATGACTTGAATTAGCTGCCAATTTTCCTTAGAAGTGAAATCGTGATTTTTGCAGAGCTTGTTTATTAATTGTAATCCAATATTATTCTGACAAGTTCAATTAATAATTACGCGTGTTATAAAAATTATTTTATTCAAATTGGCATACTTTCAATTTCTACGCAGACACAAGGAAACAAGAATTATAGCTCAATATACGTCTCAATTTGAAACTATCATTAATAAAACGCGTAACATTGAAATGACGATGCTATTTGTAAAGCAATACTTCAGAGTACTGTAACACTTCGATAATATATTTCAATTTATAAGTACCTTAGATTGCCCCGCAATGAAGCTCTTTTTCGAACATGGACAACATGAATAATTCGAACCATATTATATTTATTAAAGTTTAAGATCGCTTTGGCATGATGAAAGAGATCCAATGAAATTGAAATATTCTCTCTTCGATGAGACATTATTATTAGACGAAAGTTTATATAGACATTTCTTATTGTTTAAAAATATGAATAAAGAAGCTTTGTCAACACCAAAGAATAGGAGACTGTGTTGACCGCTTTTCAATCATTCTCTCATCCAATAAAGATTTGCGATGTTTAAATTAGTGCTGCATGAGTTAATTATGTCAAAAGACTTGTTTCATGGAGAAAGAACGAAAAAGGATTCAAGGCTCAACACATATTGAAAATAATGCGAAAAGAGAATGCTTCATTCATGATTTTTGGGTGTGGGTCATGTGAAGAAATTCTATTAGTAACACGAAGCGCACTGTCACCATTAATTGGTTCTCACTTCTCAATTGAAATAAATTCATAAATCAAATCAAATGCATCAAATTCAGAGAGAACGGATGGAAACAAAAAAAACATAAATAAACACATAGATTGCTAAGCTAATGCAAACTTGAAGTGGAAGAAGTCTATGCACTAGCCGTGAAGAATTAATGAGGAATTTATATGTAATATTACTATTCAAACGAGTCTAACCCGAATGTATTTATTTACAATCTTAGTAGCTTTAGCTGAAGATGAATAGACAGCAGTATAAAGTGATGAACAGTTCTGCTGAAGAGTAGACGACGAAGTTGTGTTGTCAGTCATAGATTATGGCTGCTTGTGAAGGATAAAATATCAAGTAATCGGTTTACGAATGCTAGTATAGAAAGTATTATCGACACAAACTGGCCACAGATAGCATGAGATGACCAATATCAGAAAGGTGTTTTTGTTTGAAGCGATGTGTCATATTCACATCGGCTCATATTCTGATTTGCTTAGACAATTATGAGTTCTTACAAAAGGAAATAAAAGAATTATCAATAAACTAGTTATCGAGATTAAATTGGACTTTGAAAACAAGGGTACAATTTCATAGCGATGTTTTTTTTACTTTCTTGAATGTATTCATTTCTTTTGAGTCTTTTCTTGATGAAGCAAGAATTTTCTCGATAATTTTAGAACGGACCAATTTCACAGATGAAAATCGTCTTGAAAATTTTTCGTTGACTTTAACATTCAACATTTATTTTGAATGAGTTTTGATTCAAAATCTCATACACATGTAATTAAAATTGTCGTTTTCTCTTTTGATAAGTTCTACGTCGAGTAATTACCGACTTATGTGAGCGTTCTTATCCTATTTATCTTAGTAGATTCAACTCATGTTGCTTGTCGGATAATTCAACAGCAAAAGCAAATGGAATCGCATCAATTTCTAGGATATTCTCTTGTGGTATTGATAATCGAAAAGAATAGATCTTATTTTCATCGAAAGCTTTGCACATGGATTCCTCAGTCGGAAACAGAGCGATAAATCATGCTACTAAGTGGGCACTAGAGTAGCACGCTATTGGAAATAACATTCAATCTAAACACGAGAATTCTTCATGAAAATGATGGTAGTTCTAAATGCTTTTGCTCATCGTATTCTTACAGTCACCGACGTGAATATCACACTCGAAATAATCGATCGTCGATGAAAAGAGTGTTCGAAAGTTTTTGTTCAATCACAGAGAAATCGATTCGACATGTGGAGTTGTTTTGAATTTCATCGAATAGAATTGACATTACTGGATAATGTAATTTAGTCAGACGATGAACGGTTTTCAATGTTTCAAAATGATCCAGAAAACATTTTGATTCGTTCTAATCAATAGATAATCTCAAAAGTATTGATCAATTGATATTGAAATATTTTTAAGATGAAGACCAATGTCATAAAAGAATTGTCACTTTTCATATGTATCGTACGAGATAGTTTTCTTGAAGATCAATCGTCCAAACATCGAGACATTGTTTCTACATTTTGTCTTAGATTTTCTCAGAATATCTTGTCTGGTCAAAATCAAGCAAATAAGTCTTGACCAAGATCAGCAATTCATTCTATAAACAACAATCAGTTCTTCTATATACATAAAAAGCATAAGTCTTGTTGAAAAAACACTACTTGATGTATAAAATTTGCTTTCTGCACAAGGGACGCATAACCCCAATACCCATCAAATCACTTCGGCAAACATGAGGTTGTCTTTGAACGCTAAAAAGCAAACATGAATCTGTATTGACGAGTATTGCGAAGATAATTTTTAAATTTTCCATGATTAAATTAGCACTCGTATTAGTCTTAAACTCAAACAATCATCTGGAACAATCGACTGAGCTAGCTTTCTTCCTTATAAGAGGAGTCGTATAAATGCACCGCCAACTAATCCTTTCCTAACTAAAAATTACATTGAAGTAGTACATAAGATCTTATAAATATCAAAATGGAACAGTAAGGCACGAGATGTGAAAGGGAAAGAAACTGATTTTCATGTTTATTTGATAAAAGGATCAAACGCGAACGCTTGACACACTACGAAAAATGATTCACTCGAGGAGATTCTCTGTGCAATTCACAATATGTGTGTTTAAATTGTTTTGAACGGCTTTTAAACACAAAATGTTGACTTTTTCACAGCTAATCCATTTTTCTGACATAATGCTCAACTCGCGCAAATTTCCAACTTTCCGGTTTTTCTTTTCTTTATTGATTGCTGCTAACAATAGGCGATATGAAACAATGATTAATCGTTGAACAACATGCAACAGTCATTCAATTATTTTTATGGACTGAGGTGGTCGAACCTTGGATTTCGCTTGACCCCCAATGACAACCATTGAGTTTAGTATTGATCGATTTAAGCAAGATAGTCATAAGATTAAACAGGAATATATCAAAAGATATTGATTGGCTTTACTGATATACTTTTGTTATTCTTACCGAACGAATCAGTGAAATTATTACGATCGTGAAGTTTTGCTCAAAAACTCTTGAACGAAAACAATCAGTGATGATCAACAATTTTCGTAAAAAATAATTTTTACATGAATATTAATCAAACTCTACTCTTTTTTTTCACGTTCCAAAATTTGATTTTCTTTAATAGTTTTCAACAAACATTGAACTGTATCAATTTCGATTTTTTAAATGATGTTTCTAGGAATGTTTGTAAGAAAGACCTTCAAAGAAATTTCTTGTCGAATATGATCGAGAGAAAGAAAAACAGATTGATGTTCGAATAATTTTCAAAACCAATTGTTATCACTGATAGACGAGAAGAATTCGACAAGCTCCGATTATATATTGAAAATCCTTCAAATAGACAGAAACTATTGTGGAATTTTTTTTTAAATGCCAGCCATCATTTTTTGAATAACTCTTTACCATTGATAGCTATCGAGTTCAGGTTTTAGCCATTCGATAGAGCGGCACGAGGGGCGTCTATCTATATGAGACTCACTAGGACCAAAGAAGTTTTTTATAGTACATATTTAATTGCTAAGAGTTTTCGTTATCAATTTCATTAGTTTTCGTTGAGACTTAGGCTTAAATTACACTAAAATTTAGCTTGGAGAGTCCGGAATTTGGATTAAATTCTCAGAATTTTAACGAACTATCGTATTCGAGACAATGACAGAAAGAGCTGAAAAGTTTATCACAGATACAGTACCCTCCGAGCTACATTTTGGTGTAATTCAAGCCTAGGTCTCTATGAAAACTAATGAAATTGGTAACGAAAACTCTTAGCAATTAAATATGTTCCTTAAACAATTTGTTTAAAAAAAAAAGCATCCCCCCGCCCCCCCCCCCCCGCGCCGCTCTATCAAATGGTTAAAACCTGAACACGATAGCTATCAATGGTGAAGAGTTATTCAAAAAATGGTGGCTGGCTTTTTTTTTAAAAATTCGACAATAGTTACTATTCCTCAATCCATTCAAGAGTTGTCTTATATACATGCAGGTGCATTTGTCATATATATATATATCAAAGGATTATAAAATGTCTTGGATACGAATATCCGCAGCTTACAAGACAATGAGAGGGTAATAGTGAAAAGAATAATGGTATATATCAATTTCAAACTACTATCAATCTTTTCTTTTTTTTTCTCGTATAGTTACCTAATCTATTGATAGGGCGCCTTGAATGGTGGGTGTGAGTGTGGGTTTTCTCTGCACGCATATCCAAATTTTAGGTCCAGATTGTCAAAATTTTCTTGCATTGATTAGTAGCATGACGAAAAGTTTCAAATCAATAAGTCTTTCTGAGCTAATCTTGTGCAGACATAAAAGGCTTTTTTATGATATAATCATATATAAGATTATAGTCTTGATGTTAAATTGTCGTTTGAAAAGCAATTATATTTAAAAGGCTATGTATTCAAGTATCATACCAATGTGAGACTAGCACATTCAATAAAAGCTGTTGATATAATCACCATTTTGGTCTCTCGTTTACTTGATCACAAAAAAAATGTCATGTCTTTTTGTCGAGAGAACACAATAACAGGACAACATATAAAATCAAAAAGTAAGAAAAAGTTCACTGCAGCAACGAATGTATATACTTTTATCTTTAATCTATTCGAAAGGTGTCACATATACGTACAGGTGTGTTCGCCATGTTTCAAGGGTAGGATTATAAAACTTCATGGACATAAATATCTGCAGTTCACAAAACTAAGACATACTAATATCTTGCAGAATAAGGGTATGTGTAGGCTTTATTTTGTTCTCAATATTTCCTTATTTTTCAATATGAACACTTGAGCTATTGGCAGAGTACCTCGTCTCTTGTACCGTGAATTGTTGAGAAAAACCTTTTAAAAACAACATTTCATGACACACCTTGCTTGACAATAAACGTCAGTTTAAGGCATCATTAAGTTATCGTTTGTTGTATTCAATTTGGGAACAACAGAATGGATCAAAAGGACTGAGCCGGAATAGATAACGCATGAATATTATGAAGTTAGTCCCTTGAATGAAAGCATTTGATGTGAGACAGAAGTTAGTTTTCCTTGTTGTTTGAATGTATTCATTTTTGAACTCTTTTGTTCAACAAGTAAAATTATAACTCATTTTGCTATCTCAATAACACATAAGTTTAATTTTCAATAAACAATCAAGATGGAGTGTCCTAAGAAGGCAAACACTACTTAAGCTGAGTAAAATTCTTTTTTCATTCCTTGTTTTTTCTATGTTATAGATATAAAAAGTTCGTTCTAAATCGTCTCGTATGATTCTTCAGTTCGCATGAAACCTTTATCTGATACAACCCATAAAAATTCATCCAAAACGGTACATATCTTCTTATTACTTTAGGTTGTCAGGAAGAATCAAAATGATATCACCATTGCTATTGTTTTTCCCATTTGTTTTGTCTGCATCAATACCAATGAAACCAACCCTTACATTCGATGAATTTTTCAATTACGTTCATTTTCCATCGGTCAGTATTTCTCCAAATGGTCGACATTTACTAGTTCATACGATGCGACCATTATGGAATTTGAACTCATATGAAAACAATCTTTGGCTTTATGAAACACCAAGACATAAAAAAAAATTGATCACCAAAAAATTATCAGAAAATTTCAAACCAAAATGGTCACCAAGTGGAAATTGGGTTGTATTGTTATTGAACGAGAAAACAAATACAAATACCATGAATAAAACTACAGACTTAAGTCATTCATCCAACAGTCACTCTCAAACAGAACAGTACATGTATCTATATTGTACCGTATCAGAACGATTGATACCAATTCCAATCGGATCAAAAGTACCATCTGTTATAACATGGGCCAACAATGATTCATCTCTTTATTTTGCTACAAGTCGATCAAATTTAACAAAAGAAAATGATTATATAGATGATATGGAATGGAAAGATGTCATTCAATATCGAAAACGAAAAGCAACTGATGAAAGTACGATCTATCATGTGAGTATTAATCGAAAAAATCGACAAACATCTACAAATCTAAATATTGTCCAAAATGTTCCTTTTCAAATTGGTGAACTCGTATTTTCATCATGTGAACAGAAACTTATTTTTACATCAGTCAAAGGAATCTTTGAAAAGAGGAATGATTTTGAAATATATTCAATCGATCTTTGCAATACATCATCACTATCAAGATTAACAACGAATGAAGTGTTCGAAACAAATTTAAAATTGTCCAATGATGGTAAACATGTTCTATTTCGTACGTCGGGTCCAGAATCGACCAATAGTGCAAATATCATTACTCAAGAAAGATTATATTCGCTGGATCTAACAAGTGGACAAACTCAACGTCTAGCAAAAGACTTTGATGGTCGCATTATGGAATACGTTATACGACCTGATGGTGGAGTTTATATACTTGGACAGTTAGGAACTAATGTTCAAATCTACACACAGCAATCTTCGAAAAAATATACAGTTTTGCATCGCGGATGGAATGGAACATATGAATCGATTTCGTCATCATCAATATCCTCTCACGGGAAGAGTGCGATTGCTTTTGTTTATTCATCTTATGGGCAACCCAAAGAAGTTTATGTTATTGACAACATAAACCGACTTACATCTGCTAAATTAATAACAAACGAAAATAAATTATTTACTGAACGAAATTTACCTAAAGTAAAAACTTATCAATGGACAAGCGATGAAGATGATCGTACAATCGAAGGACTTCTACATTATCCACCTGAAAAGTTCGAATCAACAAATTTGCCTCTTCTCGTACTTATTCATGGTGGTCCATATTCAGCAAATATCAATCAATTACATGCCAGTGCAGGTTTGTGGGCACCATTGGCAGCTACGCAAGGTTGGTTAGTATTGGAACCAAACTACCGAGGATCAACAGGATATGGTGATCAGTTTCTTAATGAAATTCGTTATCAACCTTTAACTCGACCAGGAAGAGATATTCTTTCTGGTGTCCATCGTTTGATTCAAGATGGTATTGTTGATCGAAATCGTTTAGCTGTAGGTGGTTACAGCTACGGTGGTTTTCTAACCAACTGGTTGATAACACAAACGACAAGTTTCAATGCTGCTCTCTCAGGTGCTGGACCAGTTGAATATGTTTCTACTTGGGGTATTATGGATTTTCCTGTGCTTATAGATTATTTGTTTGGTGGATTTCCATGGAATGCATCGGACACTTTTGAAAGGGAATCTCTTATTAATCAACTGGATAAAGTGTGTACGCCGACGCACATTGTTACTGGAGCAGGTGACATTCGAGTTCCTGCTATTCAAAGTTTTATATTGGAACGTGGATTACATTATCTTGGTGTACCTGTTCAATTATTAGTTTTTCCGAATGAAGGACATTCATTACGAAACAATCCATGGCATGGAAAAATCAAAGTTCGAGAAGAACTTAAATGGTTACAAAAATATGGTCATAAAAGTTGTATGGTAAATGACAATTAGATTTGAAAAGTGCATTGAAATGGGATACGCTTTTTCTAGAATAAGAAGCACTAATAAAATGACGTTTCAAATAGTTGATTTGATATAAAAAAAATAATAATAGATGGTAAAAAGGAACGTTTGACATGGCACATGCTAGTAATCAAATGTAAGTGAAAAAAACTGCGAGAGCAGTGCTTATTACGTTGAAGTTTGATGACAATTTAGCGACAGTATTTTGATCAGAGAGAAAAAGAAAATCTCAGTTATTCTCTGCTGGCAAATGAACTCCATTCAGATCATTCTCTAAGTAGAGATATAATAAAAACTTTCAATTATTCCAGCGAAATATTTAATATTTTGTTGCATTTAATAATAAAATTAATTTTTTGGTAGGGATTTGGATAAAATGAAATCAATAATACTACCAGCATTTAATTGTCGTTGTTAGTATGTACAGATTTCAACAGAACAAGCCGATTAATATGAATTACATTCCTGAAATAGATAATATAAGATTAATAACTGTTTTGATGTTTATGTACGAGTTTGGTCGTAGAAAAACCTGATGGAAGCCGAAACGTCAACAAGAAAACGAGATGTTCTCGTATTCCATGAAGTATAAGAGTAAAGTGAGAATTCGAAGCTATTTTCATCTCATGGACTTTCAACTGTTTAACTACACAAATTGATTGCACATCAAAATAGCCAATCAGAGAATGCTCTTGAATGAGGAGTTTGATACAAACAAGATCTTCAAGTAAATGTGTGTATTAAAAGTGAAATATGGGACAATTATGTAAGATGAAACACAATATAAAAATTAAAAACAGCTAAAATTTTTTGACATAAATCATAAACGTGTTATTTCGGTATCTATTTCTCAGATACCATCATCAGACGAAAAAAACATCAGCATAAAATATTCATACATCTATATCAGCTTTATTATAGTCTATTATAGTGTATATGAATAACAGTATAATGTATCAGCACATTCAATAGATAAGTTAACTCATTGATCATGTAGGGTGTGGATGTGGGTGTATTAGTAAATTGAATGATTACTCAATCAAATCAAAAGCTAGCAAGAGGCGTTTCGATTACTGCTAAAGTAATCACTTATCAATTGCTTATGATTAAAGGATGTTAATAATAACTCTTCTACTATGAATTACTTTAGTTGAACGTTTTTCGAGAAAAATTTCCAAGCTAATAATAATCATACTATACTATTACCGAAAAGTTAAGAGTAACTTCCAATAATACACTATAAGAGGTTCTCCTTCATCTTGGTGTGTTAGTAAATTGAATGACCACACACCCTCAAGATCCTGAGTTCAGGATGTTAAAAGTGACCGTTTTAAATGAGAAAAAAGCCCTTCGATTAGAGGGCCGATTTGCCCAGAAAACGACCCCCTCCTTTGATTGTACAACTGAATGAAATTTGTCATGTTATAGTAGATATGAATAATATTATTTCTCTAATAGCAAATCTTGATTATAATAATGAAATAAGATCGAATCCATTTGTTCATATTTTATATAGTGGAAATCAAAATGATCTTTGTCAAATGTTAACTTCTGTTCGTCAAATATTAAATATATTTGCTCAACAAAATTTACAATTAGAAATTAATAGTATATTTTATTCATTTTCTCATTCAAAGGAAAATTTATTTATTTATTTATTTATTCCTTGAAGATGATGCTTATAGGGCTGACAAAAAGTTCTGATAAGATCAAATAAAAATATAAAAAGCAAGAGATATTTTTAGTTTTATTTTATCAAATGCTCAAAATAGTCACCATTATTATTTATACACAGTTCCATCCTGGCTAACAATTTGTCGAAAGCTTTTTAAATTCTTCTTCTGGAATATTCTTCACTATCTTGGTAATCGCCTGAACTAGCGATTTTTCGTTTGCTTGATCAGTCAAATTGTTCTTGATGTAATCATTTAACCAAAAGTCACATGGTGAAAGATATGGTGAAAATGGTGGATGTGGTATTGTTTGAGAATGAGGGTGACGGATGAGTATAATATCCGTACCCCATTCCCATGTTAGCATTAAATTAGATTACTGATGATGGGTGTAGGTCTTTTAAATGAGTTCAACAGAGACTAACCGTGTCATATATCATCTTTACCGACTACGTCACACTTTTTTCAAATTCGCTTATAATTCAATCAATTATTTTTTATGTGGGGCTTGTCTGCAGTTCATCTTTGCTTTTTATATATCGCTGCGGTTCGATTCGTTTTCGCTCTCTGATGCTGCAATTACGTATTATACATATATACATATATATATATTCCTCACCTTGAATGTTTTATTTTTTATATTTTTGTGTCCATGAAAAGAAAAATACAGAAGAGAAGAAAAATAAAGGTAGATTTACCATGTGTTAACGAAAGAAAAAGCAAGTTATATTTTAGAAACAAGTAAACAATATTATTATATAAAATAAAAGGTACAAACGATAGTTGGATATTTTATCGATTTTCATCAAACGGTAAATATTCTTATACATTACACCTCGATTGCTTTTCATCTATTTGTTTTCTCTTACTATATTTCGTTTGTTTAGTATTCTGCTATATATATATATATATATATATAAGAAGAAAGCCAGAAACGCGCTGCATCTTATGATATATTTGTGTTGAACAACAACTAAAGTTTGAAGTAATAGTGACATTTTTGTTTTGCTGCAATAAAAGTATTTTTCGAATAACTTTTCATAAAAATAAAATAGAGATCTGCGATTCTCATCATTCAGAAGAAAAGATGAATCTGCATCGAATCATACATTTTACTTTATATTGACAAGCTTTTTCAGAGTATTCAGTGAAGGTTCTTAGAAAAATCGACGTTTTTTCGTATTTTTTAAACAAAAATTCACTTCTTCTCTCTAACGCACCGTTCTTCTAAAACACTTGACTGAATACTATGGAAAATCTTGTCAGAAGAATCTGAGTTATATGATTCGATGCAGATTCATCTCTTCTTTCGAACGGTGAAAAGCGCAAATCTCGATTTTATTTTTATCAAAAATTATTCCAAAGATACTTTTATTGTATTAGAAAATGTCACTAATTTTTCTAAAGCACTTTTTATACTTTAACTGTTTGACGAGCAAATTCTGGACGGGTGAGGCTGAGGGAGGAGAGATAACAAAAAGAAAAAAAGTGGCACCTAAATGTACCATCGCCCGTCAACGGGTTAAGCTACAGTTGTTGTTCAACATAAAAATAAGTGGATCGTGACTTTTTTGAACATTTAACGAAAAAAATTGAAAGTTGGCTTAGAGAAAATTTGATTTGTGCATTTTTCTCTTCACCATTATCTGAGTATTCTGTAAAAATTTCCCAATAAATAGCCGCTTACTGGCGAAGATATTCAAGTGTACATTTTGGTTGTTTTTTTATCCGCGAGGAGTTTGAAGAAAAAGGTCTTGGAATCGGTACAAAGACTCACATATTATACAGCATACTCACTCTAATGGTTGCAACAAACAGTGCATTCGCATAGTCACGCACAAGAAATAGCTTAACAGTGTCATTAAGGGGCTCTAAAAAGAAGGGTTGTTAGATAAATCTCTTTACTTCAGCTTTGGTCAGTAGTGTTATAATATGTCGAGAAATATGCAAATGTATTAAGTTTGCTACCGTGAATAGAACAGTGTATAGTACTAATAACTTTACCGTGAAATAACCGAAAATTTTCAAAAGCAAATCTTGCCCTACATTTTGCCGTAAAATGTAAATTTTTTTAGAACAAAGCATGGCTGAATAATGAAATTTTTTCTAGTTATGCAACTTTTTGTAGTTTATCTTGTATATAAGTTTCATCAGAATCGGACGAATCATTCAAGAGGTACAGGCTTCTCAGGTTCGAAAATTTCAGCCGACAAAGTCAGTGATAAATTTAGTTTTCATTTTTTTTTTGATCTGCTAAAGAAAATTATTACAGGATTTGAACATGTATTTTAGAGTAAATTCGGTGCAGTTTCTAATGGAACATTCAGTGTCCTAAAAGAGTCTGTACCTGTGCACTCCACACTCAATCCAATATCATCTTACACTGTGTACGCAAAAGGAATTTAATAATAAAGGATCAGGAAGAAAAAAGGAATTGCACTAGTGAATGATAGAATTAAATAGCCTATTGAATGCTGAACAAAAAGTGCTGTAGAGATTTTCTTTTTATTTCTTACCTTCTTTATGAAACTCATTCTTATTACGATGTTTCATCAAAAGAGCTGTTAGCGCAATCTCTTCAGGATAATAATGTGAAACACGATGAAGCTATGGAACCTGAAGAATAGCTGTATCAATAGATTTGATTTATCATAATAAACAAGCATGATAAATTGTGTCTAAAGATGTATGACATTGCTTGAGTCCTCACTTTCTTTATCTAAGGTTGTACAGTTAGTAATGACATTATATGATGAAGCACCGAAGTAGAATCTTCACAGAAATTCTTTGATTAAATATCTAATTCTCAAGAAACGTACTATAAAACGAAATTCAAAAAAAAAGGCGCGAAAGTGATCAATCAAAAGAGAAGAGAGAAATAACAGGAAAATAGGAAAAAAAAACAAATAATGACTGACAAGTACTTGATGATCCTGTATCTGCCACGGTCAGTGGGGCAGAGTAGGGGGTTAGCTTTTTCTATCCTTATACTTCAACACTTCTTTTCAATCGTGTTTCACAAAAGTGAGTTTTTCCAGCTTTCGACGTGTATGTCTCAACAGGGTTATGTACTATGGATCTGAAAACTTCAGAATTGTTTGAACAAGTAGAAAGAAAGAAAAGAAAAAAAAAATTCTTAATTGGACGATAGGAATCGAAGTTATAACAGAAAAACGTCAAAAACACAATTGTACCAAATAGTTGCAATTCACTCATACACTACAAGATGCAGCGCGTTTCGAGTTTCTTCCCTATACATAACCGATTAATAATCAAAAGAAATATAGGAATAACAAATAAAAGAAGTAAAAAAAG